GCTAATGTTAGTGGAGGAACGTGAGAATATAATTGTAGTTAAAAAATTTGTTTCCATTTAAAAAAAAAAAGCAAATGTTTGATTTTTTTTTTGAGTTGCATTAATATTTATTTATTTTTCATAACTAAAACTAATAAAAATCAATAAAGAAACAAATAATTTGTCCGTTTGTTAATTCACCGGGAAAATAAATACGATTAATTATTTCGATCTTAGAGACGTTTTTCACGAGTAATTTTAAAATAGCAAATTGTTCTCAATTTCCTAACAAGGCTTAATTCTCAGCCAACTCGCAATAGTTCTAAAACATTTAAAAAAAATTAACTTGAGAATCATTTACAACGAATATTTAATTTGAAGACAAATTTATATAAAGTATTAATAAAAATAAAACAAAATAGAATTGAATATTATCGATAGCATTAAGAAAGAGAAATTAAAAAATTTAAAAACACAATTCTAAGACGTTAGAAAAATTTTGGCTACATATTTGGCTGTCCAATATGTTCGGCAACTCCATACTCTTTGTAGTGACTTAATGAATCAAAACACCATTTTGGATAATAATTACTGATCTTACAAGAGTTAGATTCAAAATACCATTTGCAACACTAATATTTTCGCTTTTATAATTTATTTATTAAAATATATATTAAATAATTTATAAATATATTACTCCAAATAAATGTATATCTATGCATTTTATTGAAATTAAATCAACAGTGGAATGAATCTAAAAAATAAAAAAAGCAGATGCATAATCACGTTCGATCAGAAATATATGTTTATAGAACATAGTATTCGTTGAATATAATATTTTATTCAAATCTCTTTACTAACTTAAGAATCATCGTAATTATAATTTTAAAAAAAGATTAGTAATCGATTATCGTCGAAAAATCATGAACGAACTCTTACCCTATATTTGCATAACTCCATGTTCCTTGTAAGTTAACCTCATTTACGTATTAACTTTAATTTAAATATGTTATTTTCATTGTCACCAAATTAATATTTTTTAATAATAATTAATTTTAATTTTTATTCTTTTCTTTATTTTTACAACTTTATTTAAACTCTAAATTTTTGTGTAGAAAAATTCGTATATTTGTACGGTATAGAAATATTATGCCTCTTTGTTCACAACTTTTTTACCCGCAATTAAATTAAATAATAAAAAATAATAAACAATTATTAAAAATTATTTTTGTTCGAAATTATTTTTGAGCAAACTGGTTTCCCATATGGGAGCATATGTTTTTTAAAATTGTCTTAATATAGCTAAAAAGGAAAAAATAGAAATCAACATTAAGGGGACATAATGCTAATTGCTAATGCTGATGCTGCATGCGCTCTCCTGATTAAACTATTAGTACTACAATTTCCCCATTGCGGTCACTCCCTCCCCTCCCCCGTATTTCAAATAAGTAAAAAAATATATTTTTATTTTTGAGAAAGTACGTTTTTGTGTTTGATTCTACTAGTTAGAACTACGACTTAGGTTAATTATTATAATTAAAATAATTAATTAATTTTTAGGGCTAATTGATCATCACGTTTGAGATCACCCTATAGAACCATTAAGATTGTCACTTAGTACGTGAAAAACTAATCATTGAAACAAAAGTTGTTCAGGATGATATTTTCTTTTCTTGCTCTATGTATTTCTAGAGATTTTTCGTTTTTCTGTGTATGGGGAGACTATATTCAGTTATATGTTTGAAGCATTTTTAAACAACTTAAATTCAAAGATATTCCTTTCAATTAAAACAATAGAATAAATGCAGAATTGCGCCAATAATTATCCTAATTACTATTCATATTTTATTAATTAGAAACAATATATCATTAATAAAATTAACAAATTGTTAAGAAAGATTTGGACTGAATCAGTTTTGGAAGAAATTGATTAAAAACAATGAATAACTACTAAAACATTTAAAGTATAAAACTTCGAATTCACTTTAGTGAAATGTTAAATTTTACTTACTAAATAAAATAATTTTTAGTAATAATAATTTTAATTTAAATATAATTAAATAAAAAAGCTTCTGAAAAACCAGCAGTATTTACAATAATTTTTAATTCATAACAGAATCAGATTCCTAAGTTATTATTCAAATGTTAGGACAAGAAAAAATTTGCAGTCTAACAAAAAAAAAATTCTTGTTAAAAAAAGCTATTAATTTTTTTTTTTTTATACTTAGAATATATTTGAATTATAATAAATGCGTATAAATAGCATAATCTATTTGTTGCAATTCTCCAATTGACAACAAGTCTCCGAATTGACAGTTTTTTTTTAATGTTTCTTACATGAGCTCCGATCAGCTGAATATTTTGAAATTTAAATATTTTTTGCTGTGTTTTGCATAAGCACAGCTGATTTAGTATTTTTAAATTCTAAATATTTATTATTGAGATAATTTATCAGTATCTAACCTTGCATATCTCGAAAGTAAAGTACGTGTTTATCATATTTTTCATTAAAAATTTATTTAATTGAAACAATAGATATTATTGTATAAATAATTTTAAAAACTTGAGATAACTTTAAATACATAAGTTATATTCTCACATCTGTCATTTTTCTAATATTTAACGAGATATATTATCTTTCAATGATATTTAAAAATATTTTTATCTTATTTTAAATAACATTTACAATTTAATGCAAAACATTTCTCATAACAGGAAAAATGATGATAAAAATTTGCTTTATCATTCTGTTATTTCTATTGAAAGTGATAAAAATAGAAAAAATTCAAGCTGTTATAGATATTTTTTATGCATCAATATTTTATGAAAAAATTATTTACACACATCATCTGCCTTATCTAGATCTTAATATTTGTATTGATGAGAAAATTCATCAGGAATCCGTTTATAATCGTAGTTTAGTTATCAGCAGAATACATTATCATATTGAAAACAGATGCTTTTGTTAACATTATTTCAAAATATTGAAATTATTAGCAACTTTTTATCCCTTTTTTTAGCAATTCTATTAATGCTCTCATGCTGTTTGTGAGATGAATATGATTGAATCTGAATGTTGGTTTTACATTTGAAGAAATAAGTTGCAATAAAATGATAAGCCATATTTTCTAATTGTCCAGTAAAATGCTTTAGTTCAAACACACTTTTTTGTATAAATATGATTTTTGTATAGTAATAGTATTTTGAGCATCGAATTAATGGTAAATATGAAACATAATGTTAAAAAAAGACGATTGATTTCGAGATTGAAAATTGTGATCGCAACCATTGCCATCAAAAATACAATACCCTTAAAAACCAAAAAAGTTTTCATAAAACGTCATATGTAACCCATTGGGTTGTATTCTTTTATAATTTTTTTTTGTTTATTCATTTACTTTTTTATTTATTCTTATGCTTATTTTTTACAAGCTGATAGGAATGTGGTAGCTGAATAGACTTTCATAAGCGCTTCATAATTTCATGTCATGAGTCATGCATTAATTGATATTTGTCTTCTTATCGTCCAATGGAATTGGATTTCTATCCATCTTCAGTATTCCATATTTGTATTAAATCAGCACCAAGACCGTAATTATGAATAAGCTAATCATAAGAAGAACATAAAATACTTTAAATTATTATTTCGTCAAAAAAAAATGAAAAATGTACGCTAATGAAAATGAAAATATTAAATTCACTCTGGAAAATAATCTACTCTAAAATTTTCAATTGGGTATACTATAGCCTACGTCACAGATCGTGTTATTCTTACTAAATTTAACTCGTAAACAGCATTTTCTGCGAACCTGATTTCTAGCAACAAGTAAAAGCATCAAACGAAGTGTCTTGTTATAAGTCGCTACACGCCAGGTTGGAATTGTATTAGTCTTCCTTTGGAAATAATTTATATTGTTGTTTTACCGAAGTTTATGAATTTAGTAAGCATATTTAAAACTCAGTTTATTAATTAAACTAAAAGGTAAATGTTATTCCTAGTAAGTGGAAGTAGTTGTGCTTTTTTCATATTATTCCCAATTTCCATAATTATCGTCTGCTTTTTTTATTTGATATTGTTTCGCTGCTTTTTTGCTAATGCTTTTGTTGGCCCGTTTTTTTTTTACTATGACAACTTTTTATTAGTGATTATGAATGATCTAGTCGAAAAGTGTGCGGACATGAAATACCTAGAACAACACTCATTATTCTAATGAGTAATAAAAGATATTTTTCATTCTAAAATGCAAATTTGCGATATAAAGCGAATATATTTTCCTATAAATGGGTGTTTTTTCCTATAAAATGCATATTTCTTTCGACAAAACGGGTGTATTTTGTTTTAAAACGCACATTTTAACTTTATAAACCGTTATAAAACAGATACATGGTTAATTTACAACACCATATAACATAACGGATACAACGCTAAAAACGTTATTATTTCATTTTTAAACTTCGAACGTTATATTTGTTTTATTAGAACGTTATATTTTGATTTAGAACGGTTACATTTCATTATAAAACGGTTATTTTTCATTATAACACGATTAATATTGTTAGTGTTTATATGAGAACAGCATTTTCTCTTTTTTCAATTTCAAATGCACAGCAAAAATGAAAACCTTTTAATTCACTAACAAAATTGGCTATAAAAAATATATTCCTATTATAATTCATTAAAAATACAGCAAATAGTTTTACACCAATCAAAATTTCACAACAACCAAATGATCTGAAAAACATGTATTTTTAATAAATCTATTGGGTGTTATCATTTAATTATTTGTATTGCAAACAAAAGAATGAAAATCAAAATGCAGTAGCTTTGATTGCTATTTCAAATTTTCTATGCACATTCATTAATTTAAAGGAATAAAAAAATTTTTAGGGATTTATCTGAATGATCAAATAATGTTACAAACTCATATTTACGTGCATTCTAAGAAATATGTATTTTTGGGTATTTATGTAAAAAAAGAAAAAAACTGTAATGAATGTTTCCGTGCATTATTTTTAAAATTTAATCGATGTGTTGTTTGTTTCAGATGGGATACGGCGAATTTGGTCAGTTTACCGGGGGCATTCATACTCGCTTATACAGCCGCGCATTCGTAATAGACGATGGTAAATCCAGAGTTTTATTTCTTTCTTTAGATGCGGGTATGACGTCACAGCTCCTTTACCTTGAGGTAAGTACTCAAAATTTACGATTTTCTAATCGATTTTTAATTTGATTTTTAAATTCGGAGGCACTTGAAAAATGAAATTTCCTCACTGGCTTAGTGGAAGCCATTGTTTTGAAATAAGTAATAGACGATTAAGTTTTGTCAAATATTTTAAAGATAACGGTGATGTTTGCTAGCTTATAGCTCCAATAAAAAAAAATTAGTTTATTTTTTTATTCGTTAATCCAGGTTATTGGAATAATCAATCTGATCGGGATAGCGTAAGCGGAAAGCGTCTCCAGATTAATCGGCTTAAGATTATCTGAAACCACGTGTTAATTTAGTTTATAGTTATGCTTTTGAAACGTGTTATTATAAAACTAAATAATTTGAAATCAACAGTAATTGAAGTTTTTGAAGAAGTTTTGAATTGAAAAGCAAAATTAAAGGAGAAATGTTACTAATTTGCGAAGGAGAAAGGCGATAAAACGCCAATATTGATATTATTGATGCCAATGATTTTGGCAACAGTTACAAATTGGAGTAAAAAATGAGCTATGTACTGAAAAACAAAATTAATGAATAAATAGTATTAATTCGCTTAAAAAGAGAGTAAAAAGTCACCTAACTATTATTGATGCTTAATTTTGGTAATAGGTACTATTGACATCATGGTAATTGGTGCAGATTTAATGATGCTTCAGATGCTTAATTTTGGTTATATGCACAAGTGGCATCATTGTATTAATTGGTGCTGTTTTAATAGGTACCGAGTATACTCTTATATAGGTACAAAATATTTTATAAATATAATTGGTGCCAATTACATCGGCACCAATAATGTAAATTTGTTTGATAGATTTTTTCAGGCTCTTCGAAGATAAAGTAGAGGTCTTTATTAAGTACTAGATTGTGGTAAATTTTAACTATCATGAGTTACCTTGAGCAACAATATCATGCCAGATTATACTGAATACAATTATAGTTATACAGTTACAGACTTTTTTTGATGAAATGGACTACTAAATACGTGCTTAATCAAATAAGGTAAAGTCACCAAGAAAACAACAAATAATAATAAATAAAAAAATTTAATACTTTTACAGTTTAAGTGTTTGCAAAATTTAAATGAATTTATGTAATATAGAGCCGACCGGACTGTGTGGAGGTCTGGGAACTGTCCTTGCATCGGAAAGCTTCTGGGAGTGAATCCCGGGCAAGGCATGGATGTTCTTTCATTCTCTGTGCCATCTGTCCTTACTGTGGGATCAAAGTTGGCCCACCTGATATGGTGCCGCTGAAAGGGTTGCCAACAAAATCTGCCCTGCAAAAAATGCCTGAATTGACGAAATATTAACAAAGGTAGGCATTGGAAATAAAATAAAAAGTAATACAGATAATATAACTTTAGGTACCATGGTATATGACCCCTGTATACTTTTTTAGGTACACATAAACAAAACTTTTTCTTTTTCAAGAAAAATTATGTTTTCTTTTCTTAAGCATTCAGTGTAAGTCTCCCCCTCAGTAAATTAAAGATCGAAACTAAATCACACCTAGAAGAAGGATGTTAACTTCAGATATTTATGTTGGGCCTAAATAACCTTTTTAAAAGCATTAATTTGCATCTTTTCCACAGCCATTTCTGTATTCAACGAATCAGATAAGAGTCTCTTAGTTTAGGACCTTTACATAAAAGTTGAATCAGTAATCATAGATCTGTGAATTGATTTTGTTTCTACTGTACTTAAGGCTTCTTTTCAGGAAAATTTCTTACTTGTCTAGTTTTGGCGAAAACACCTGGAAAGTTGTGCAAATTTTTAGGATTTTGTTACTTTAAGCTCAATTTCCAGATCACGCCAAATCTACACACGTATGTAGAAATATTTAGGCAATACTCATTATAATATGTTTATAGAAATACATACTTTTTTGTTTCACCGTTGGCACAAGCAAAGTTTGACGGTCAAAATCGAAGAGATTAGCTTTATTTCGACGATTTTTGAATGACCTTTGACTTTCGCTGCAAAGGTCCACTGTAAGTATTTATGTCTTAATAGTATGCGTATTGTGCGGCTTTGAAGAGAACTCCTCCAGACTAAAAGTCTGGGGCTGTCTGCTGCAATGGTAACGAGCAAGAGCACATTTCTAATGGGGGTGCAATAGAGGAATGAAGCGGTCGATTGGTTTATTTGCGCTGACGCATGACAAGATCAAGACAAAACTTTTCACCCCACACCCCTATTCGAAGTGACTTTTCCTCGTAACCATGGTACCCGCCACGACCCGAGACTGGCGTCTGGAGGAGTTCTCCTGAAAGCCGCACTGTGGAAGCAGTAGAACACAATATAATAGTCACTCTTTTCACACGGGATGTTTATCAATTTCATATGATATTTGCGTATAAAGAATAATTAATTACTTGCATTTTATGATTGTAGTTTTTCTTGTTTTTTTTAATATTTTTTAAGTGATAGCATTTTGAAACTCATATAATACGACTTTTAATTATTTTATTTTATTCCAGGCTACTAAGGCTCTTCAAAAAAAGTATGGAAAATTGTATTCCGATAAAAATGTATGCATCAGTAGTACGCACACCCACTCGGGGCCGGCAGGATTTTCGGTAACGTTCTGTACATACTCACATCTCAAGGTTTCGTCAAGGAGACATTCGACACCATGCTTAAGGGGATTTTAAAGGTATAGAATTTATGATTGTTGCAATCTTTTTTTTATCTCTAGTAATTATTTATATTTTTCAAAATAATGAAGGGAAAGTCGTTATGTCTGAAAAATAATCATAAAGATTAGTATAAGGGTGTGTTTGATTGATATAAATTGTATGATGTGTTTCCCAGGGAAAATAATTGCTTTAATGAAACAAATCATGATTGATTAAGGCTTGAGTATTATTGAACCTTTCATACAGTTAAGCAGCGTTTAAAACATAATATTTAGTAAAATTCGCTCTCAATATAAGTCAATATCTATGCAGATTAAGTTGTACAAGTTAATATTTGTGTATGGAAAAATGAGTAAAGTTTTCCAAACTCTGATCAATCATCATTGAGGTCATCTAAAGCAACTAAGGGATTAAAATCATTAAATTGCAATGTATTTCTTGTGGTGTTGGAATGCATTTGCTTTTCGCAAGAAATACTACGATTGTTCAGAGTTTGAAAAAGTTTTTGTTCTTTCTCTCTTAAATGGTAATTTTCAGCACTGATAGTGTATTGTTTCTTTTTTTCAGTTCATTTTTTACAAGAATTTTAAAAATATGTACATTTAAAGTGATTATTGTTGAAATCTCTGTATTAAAAAGTAACAGATTTGTGACTGTTTTAATAAAAAGCCAAAAGAATTTTAACTATATTGTAATACAAATTTCCGTAAAAATTCAGAGAGAGAAAAAGCAAGAATTTATATTAATTTCTTATTTTATCGTATGTAACCAAGTTTCTAGGGCACAGAGCTACGGATTATACCGGATTTTCCCTTTTTCCTACACATTTCTTTATAGGGATTTTGTTTCAGGTATTTCTGTATTTTACTTCATGACTAGTTTTTTAGACTATTTTTTGTTCTACATGTCAACCTAATTTTTTTTATATTTGTCTATAGTAAAACAATTGATTAGTAAACTTAAAATATTGATTAATAGAAATTTTATCTATGCCACAGGAAAAAATAATCGTTTGAGTAGTGAAGTTTATAAAGTATCAACAAAAAGAATAAACAGTTTAGAGAGAGAGAGTGGGTTTCTATGCTCGATTTCGAATTTGATTCATAAGTAGTACTAATTAAATAATACATTTCTAGCGTGTAGTTTATACCATTTAGATTGTATTTTATATCTATAAGATACAATAATTGGATCAAACGTTAAGCATGATGCTACTTTTTATTTTGCTTATTATACGTCCTATTTCTTAGAGTCTATTTTTTTAAGAGTAACTTTTTAAATAATTAATAAAAATATGCTTCTATTCATTACGAGTGCCATAGTATGAATCAGGGCCTGATTATCGCCTAGGCCCAATAGGCACGAGCATAGGGCCACACTTTCTGGGGGGGAGCTCAAAAATTAGTGAAAAGTCCACAATATTACATAACATTGCACTAATCAAATTTGAAAGTACAGCTGAATTTTAATTGGAGCAAGTTTTACTCCAACGGCTTAAGCAAATGCAACGAGAATGCATATTCGCAAAGTCTCTTATAAATGATTAGTGTCAACAAGAACTAAAAGCTTATTCTCAACAAATATGTAAAGCTGTAGATGTAAGGGCACAATCTTCAAAATAATTCAGCTAATCAGTGACTTTTAGAAAAAATCACTGATTTCAATAGTTTGTGGTCACCAAACTATATTTATTTTCATACAACATTGTTTTGTATTTCGCTTCAATATTTAGATGCGTAAACTTTATCTTAGAAAAATAATCTTCAATTGTCTGCTTTCAAAATTTTTTAGAATGTTACTCTTGAATCATGTAGTTCAATAAATTTTTTCTACTGTTTGGACTACTCTTCAGAAATTTAATTTCGAAATATTTTGTTAGGGCCCCGAAAATTTTGTGGGCCTTGGGCCTGAATTGGTTTGATCGGTCTCTGGTATCAATAAATTTGAAATAACGCGAAAAAGCACAAATAATATAGCATAAAACAGGTACTATATGCTCGTGTATCAATAAGGTTAAAGCAACGTGAAAAAGCGCAAATAACTTGGATTAAAACAGACACCTCGTGTATCAATAAAGTTAAAACAATATGAAAAAACATAAAACAACAAATGTTCAGTAGTTTCGATACTATAATGAAAAATCTCAAAGGTGCTTCAAAGAGATTATATGCCTGTTTTATGCCATATTATTTGTGCTTTTTCACGTTGTTATTGATACCATTACAGAATTAACTCTTCCTTCTTTGGATGCCTAAAGTATTTTCTTCCTTTTGTGTTATAACATATTATCGTTGTTATATTGTAGAGTGTTGAAAATGCGCACAAGAACATGCAACAAGGATACATATTCCACAATGAAGGAGATCTTTACAATGCCAGTATTAACAGAAGCCCTACTTCCTACTTGAAGAACCCGAAAGAAGAAAGAGACAAGTAAGATGCATTTAGTCATTATTAAGTCTTTTGTTACTAATTTTGTTTCTTAGTTTTTGACATGAATTTTCTTTCTATTTAATACGCAACTAAAATATTATAATGATTAAATCTTAGTATTAAAAAAAGTTCGAAATAACTTCAATTACATGCAACTTTTTAGAATAATAAATAAATAAATAAAATAAAAAATGAAAAAATGGGCCACCTTGAATAACTTTTGATCTAATGATCAGATTTTCATGTTCTAGGACTCAATCTGAATGGTTCAAGGGGGTGACTTTAAATATGCTAATTAATAAATGCACACGATATTTCAAATTCTGAAATCATACTCAAAAACCTACTTTCACTGAATAAACATACCTTTCTTTCGACAAATATGAATTCTTGACCCTCAAAGTAGGGGTGGGGGAGGTGGCACAATCTGGAAAATATGGTGCCCATATTTTGATCAGGAGAGTGGTTCAAAATTTTTGGGCACCTTAATGTTAATTTCACTTTTTGCGTATTCAGCAATATCTGGAGAATTATTAAAGCGAATTCAAAAAAAATTCTAAGATAATTTGATACAATAAATAATCTTTAATAATTATTTCTTATTTTTTAATTTTATTTGAAAATTGTCAAAAAGAGTTAGAATGGCGAGGGAAATTGAAAGATTCTGTATGCAAATTTTTACATCATTTTAAAGAATGTAGTTTTAAAAGGAAAAAAACAAATTGTGAACGAAATCGGTCATGTAATCGAGTTTTAGTTCCGAAAATTTGAATTTGAAAAAAATCGTGTATTTAAAATTTAACTCTTATCAACAGTGACATGGCTTTAGAATAGCGTTTTTGTTTTATGTAACCCACAATAATCTGTGTATACTTGTGTATAAGCAAATGAAAGTAGTATGCAATCAATTAGGATATTATAATGCAGTCGGTAATGCCTGTTTAACACCACTAATGTCTGGCAATGTTGTTAGAACTGTCCCTACCTTTACACTGTAAAAAATTTTAAAGTATCTTAATGCTAAAAAGTTGTTTTTTTTTTTTTTTTGGTAAATGGCGGGCACTTGGGTCATTGACCTCAGAAATGCCAGAATTGCCACTCCCTTATCGTTACTCAGTGGGCACCTATGGCTAAGCCACGGTGGTGGAGTAGCGTCGCCCACGTCATACAACCACAAACTCGTTTATAGGGCGGGTTACAGTCACACAGGAGAAAGGACATAGAACACAGAGAGAGAAAGAAACATCCATGCCCTGTGCGGGATTTGAACCCGCAACCATCGGCTCCGCAATCAGGCACGCTAACCACTCGGCCACCTGGTCGGCTAATGCTAAAAAGTATAGGGAACTCCTTACATCAAAGTGGTGTAGAAAAAAAGTCTTTCTTCTCACATTTTTTTGGGTAGTTCAACACTGAAATTCTGTTTAGTACGCCATAATTTTTAGTTGATATGGCAGGTTATTAAGATTTAAGTGAGTTAACCGTGGGTGCAAGCGAGATGACACACGTTGTTTCTGAAGTAATGATCAAATTTAAATTTTCATGTTCGACCATTTTACAAGCATGCCATGAGCATCCTAAATCTATGACGCTGCAGACAGGAAAAGATCATAGAAGAACAACACGCCTGATGAGAATCATTAAACGTGAAAGACGTGTGGTTACACGTGTTAAATGTGAAATATTCGTGTTTCTCAAATTGCCACGGACTGATGGCCCCTTGAACAGGGCAACAGAGCTTCTAATAATAAAAAAACAGTCGGTAACATTTATAAGAATTTTTGTCAAAGAATCCACTGCTCATGAATCTTTTAAAAAAATTTCCTTCATTAGGCAAACGAGAAGAGTGTGATAAAATTTCTTAATTTTCAATGTAAATATTAAATTTTCAAATTTGACGTGCAGCAACGGACTTGAATGAGGAGAAATTTCTCCCTAACTCAGAAGCGTGTTCCTTTATTTGATAAGCCCTTTATTTGAACAAAAATTACATTTGTTTTTATTTAAATTTAAATTTTTTTGTTTGAATTTTAAAATTATTTTTCTAATGTTTTCTAGGTATGATTCAAACCTTGATACAAAGATGACTTTATTAAAATTCACAGATATTAATAAAAAACCAATCGGCATGATCAAGTAAGAACATTTAAATTTCATTATATTCCATTTTTATCAGTTTTGTTTTTAGGTTTAAGAATAATAGATGAACGTAAATTAGTTAGCCAGAAAGATGTTGTTATTATCAATATTTAAACTATAAAAAATAAGAAACATGAATATGGGATATTAAAACGCATGTTGTTTACTGGCTTTCAAGTGTTTAATGTGAATGCAAGCTTTATTCTAAAGCATGACCTCATTTGAAGAATTTGTATTTTGTAAGGCCTAAAAATCGAATATTTCCGCGTGATATATATATATTTTTAAAAATGATTTAAGAATTCTTGGCTTTAAACTGTTGACTTTCTTTTATCTGTTAGAAATAGTATATTTATTGCAATGATCATCTTCTGAGATCTTAGGTTTCTCTTTCGCAATTATGTATAGAAACCCTGCATTTCGTTTCAGCGAATCGATGGTATATAAATATATATAATATACAATCATGTTATATAAGTTAGTCCGCTAAAGCAGCCTATTGTTAGATTCTACAACCCTTTTTTTAACTAAGCTCAGGAAACACATATTTCGCTTCAGAAAATTGATAGTACGATGTTACATAAAGTTTGTCCTCAAGAGCAGCCTACTCTTAGATTCTAGCAGTACCACACATTTCCCTTCAGAAAATTGATAGTACCATGTAACATAAAGTTTGTCCGCAAGAGCAACCTACTCTTAGATTCTAGCAGTACCACACATTTCCCTTCAGCAAATTGATAGTACCATGTTACATAAAGTTTGTTCGCAAGAGCATCCTACTCTTAGATTCTAGCAGTACCACATATTTCCCTTCAGCAAATTGATAGTACCATGTTACGTAAAGTTTGTCCGCAAGAGCAACCTAATCTTAGATTCTAGAACCCTTTTCGCCGAACTAAGCACAGGAAATGCACATTTCGTTTTAGCAAATCCATAGTACCATGTTACATAAGTTTGCTCGTAACAACAGCCTGAAATCTATGTATAAATAATTCTTTATGAATTTTTATTTTTTTTAAATAATTCTTTATGAAAAAATTTGAATTTTTTTTAAAAACTTAGAAATTTTAAACGATAAAATTTTTTAAAAAAATTCAAAAACTTGATTATAATTTTGGTTTGGTTGTGGTAAAAAAATCTCTGATTTTTATAAGAATATATAACATTTACTTGAAAAACCACACTAAAAATTTTAAAGATTTGATGTTCAAAATTATTTTTTAAAAGATATTCTAAACATTATTTTGCTGTTTTTATCGAAGAAAAGAAAATTAGAACCTATAATAATAAACTCGCTTTTTATTTTTAATAAGTTAAATGAAGAAATAAAACAACATTTCTTAAAGAAGAGAATTAATTCAATGCCGATCAGATGATTCTTGTTCAAGATCAAAAAGGAAATAATTTTTGTATTAATTGACGGATTCGATTTTTTGTCTTTTATTTTGTAGCTGGTTTGCCGTTCACCCTAGCAGTATGAACAAGACAAACGTCTTGATTAGTAGTGACAATAAGGGGTACGCATCTTTGCTTTTCGAGAAGAAAATGAATCAAAACGCTCTGCTTGGAAAAGTAAGTAGAACAGATAAATTTATGTGTTAGTATTCTTATAAGAATTTCTTTATTCAACCACGTCAATTTTGTAGGTGATGGTAAAGCTTAGCGGGAGCGCGGCTGAGTTCGCTTTTTCATAGGCACGAGAAGCTAAAGCGAGCAAGTCACTATTGTATTTATTTTGCCGTGAATTCCAAACTGGACTTGTCTATCGCTCCACGAAACGTCTACGGAAAAATTTTTGTTTCGTTTAACCTCGATTACTTTTGGCTTGAAAGTTTTGACAAATAGTTAAATTCTGATTTCAAAGACCTGAATCAGTTTCATTTAACGATTAACTCAGCGTAATAACGACCTTTTAAATGTTTTTTAAAGTAATAAAAGTGTAATTGTTTCGTAAATTACCATTTTGTCACTTTTGAAAATGGTTGTTGTTCTATATATTTTCATGTCTGCACAGCTTTTGACTAAATTAACTTCAACATAATCACAAAAAAGAATCATAAAAAAATCAGCAGCTAACATAAGCATTAATAAAAAAGCAGCACAAGATCAAAGAAAAAAAACAGACGATAATTTTAGAATTTTTTGGAACTGATTGTTTTCCAGACTGAGTTTTTTATTTTTTTATTTTCAACAGTATGCATTTTGAATGCTTTAATCTAATATTAATTTAAAGTATTTTCACGCTCTTTTATGATTAAGTTATTCATAATTACTACCTTTGCGGCGATGATTTTAATATAAATGTGAAAACTGAAGTAGGAAAGGAAATATTTGACGTTTTAAGGAACGTATATTGAGGGAAATTGAAAACCAACCCAATCCATTGAACGAAAAGAAGACAAACATCAATTGATGTAGTTTTTTTTAACGTAAGACATGAAACATGGCGTTTATAAAAGTCTATAAAGAAAAAAATAATAAAAAAACTCATGATGTATGGGTAACTAGTGATTGCAGTAAAGCGATTACAATTTTCACTCTTTTATAAAGCATGTTTTGGTATGCTATTACTGTTTAATAATTTTGATGTGTTAAGTCACGTTTTTGATTATTGTCACTATAGGGAAAAATCAGTGAGCTTTATTCTATTTCTAGGGTCCATTTGTAGCCGCATTTGCTCAAGCAAACGAAGGTGATGCTTCGCCAAATACAAAAGGACCTAGATGCATAGATACTGGATTGCCGTGTGATCAGGATACCAGCACCTGCAATGGACAAGTAAAATGTTTATACATATATACCTGTCTTAAAATACTCAATAACTAATGAAATATTCTTAAAAAATTTCTTTGACGATTCGGGTACATTAAATTTTAAAATTAATTAATTGCATTTCTAATGTAAAATTTAAGAGTATTTTTAGAATAAAAGAATATTATTAAAATGCTTAACATCAGTTTAGAACAAATAAGTTTTTAGTAAAGTTATTTTGAAATTAACCGAAAGAAATACTCGTAAGTAGGTTATAAATGAACCTAAGTAGTTTTCTCGAAAGCAAGTCGATGGCGAAAGTTTTTTAATTTCAATTATCAGAAGAACTCGCCTTAAATTAATTAGATAAATTAGATTTTAGACTCCTAGACTTGTGTATATTTCTTGTATCAGCACGTTGCGTATCACACACAATGTTCTTTTATTATTTTTATTTATTTATTTATTTTTGTCCAAAAACGTTTTTTTATTGTTGTTGTTGTTATTTTTTTAGTAAATACGTAAGTTTAGTCTATATAGCTTTTGTTTTCGCAACGTGAATTTCTTGGNGGATATTCTGAATGTTTATTTTGTTATTTTGCTGTTTTTATAGAAGATAAAAACTAGAACCTATAATAATAAACCAGCTCTTTATTTTTAATAAGTTAGATGAAGAAATAAAACACTTCTTAAAGAAGAGAATTAATTCAATGCCGATCAAGTGATTCTTGATCAAGATCAAAAAGGAAATAATTTTTGTATTAACTGACGGATTTGATTTTTTGTTTTGTAGCTGGTTTGCCGTTCACCCTAGCAGTATGAACAAGACAAACGTCTTGATTAGTAGTGACAATAAGGGGTACGCATCTTTGCTTTTCGAGAAGAAAATGAATCCAAACGCTCTGCTTGGAAAAGTAAGTAGAACAGATAAATTTATGTGTTAGTATTCTTATAAGAATTTCTTTATTCAACCACGTCAATTTTGTAGGTGATGGTAAAGCTTAGCGGGAGCGCGGCTGAGTTCGCTTTTTCATAGGCACGAGAAGCTAAAGCGAGCAAGTCACTATTGTATTTATTTTGCCGTGAATTCCAAACTGGACTTGTCTATCGCTCCACGAAACGTCTACGGAAAAATTTTTGTTTCGTTTAACCTCGATTACTTTTGGCTTGAAAGTTTTGACAAATAGTTAAATTCTGATTTCAAAGACCTGAATCAGTTTCATTTAACGATTAACTCAGCGTAATAACGACCTTTTAAATGTTTTTTAAAGTAATAAAAGTGTAATTGTTTCGTAAATTACCATTTTGTCACTTTTGAAAATGGTTGTTGTTCTATATATTTTCATGTCTGCACAGCTTTTGACTAAATTAACTTCAACATAATCACAAAAAAGAATCATAAAAAAATCAGCAGCTAACATAAGCATTAATAAAAAAGCAGCACAAGATCAAAGAAAAAAAACAGACGATAATTTTAGAATTTTTTGGAACTGATTGTTTTCCAGACTGAGTTTTTTATTTTTTTATTTTCAACAGTATGCATTTTGAATGCTTTAATCTAATATTAATTTAAAGTATTTTCACGCTCTTTTATGATTAAGTTATTCATAATTACTACCTTTGCGGCGATGATTTTAATATAAATGTGAAAACTGAAGTAGGAAAGGAAATATTTGACGTTTTAAGGAACGTATATTGAGGGAAATTGAAAACCAACCCAATCCATTGAACGAAAAGAAGACAAACATCAATTGATGTAGTTTTTTTTAACGTAAGACATGAAACATGGCGTTTATAAAAGTCTATAAAGAAAAAAATAATAAAAAAACTCATGATGTATGGGTAACTAGTGATTGCAGTAAAGCGATTACAATTTTCACTCTTTTATAAAGCATGTTTTGGTATGCTATTACTGTTTAATAATTTTGATGTGTTAAGTCTCGTTTCTGATTATTGTCACTAAAGGGAAAAATCAGTGAGCTTTATTCTATTTCTAGGGTCCATTTGTAGCCGCATTTGCTCAAGCAAACGAAGGTGATGTTTCGCCAAATACAAAAGGACCTAGATGCATAGATACTGGATTGCCATGTGATCAGGATACCAGCACATGCAATGGACAAGTAAAATGTTTATACATATTTATCTGTCTTATCTGTACTCAATAATGAATGAAATATTCTTAAATACTCAAAATCTCATGATTTAATACCTGAGATAAGTAATAATAGCTGATTAAGAACAAATAAATACTAATCCAGTATTAAATAAAGCCTTTCTATGTCGATTCGGGTACATTAAATATTAAAATTAATTCATTTCATTTTTAGTATAAAATTTAAGAGTATTTTCAGAATAAAAGAATATTATTAAAATGCTTAACATCAGTTTAGAACAAATAAGTTTTTAGTAAAGTTATTTTGAAATTAACCGAAAGAAATACTCGTAAGTAGGTTATAAATGAACCTAAGTAGTTTTCTCGAAAGCAAGTCGATGGCGAAAGTTTTTTAATTTCAATTATCAGAAGAACTCGCCTTAAATTAATTAGATAAATTAGATTTTAGACTCCTAGACTTGTGTATATTTCTTGTATCAGCACGTTGCGTATCACACACAATGTTCTTTTATTATTTTTATTTATTTATTTATTTTTGTCCAAAAACGTTTTTTTATTGTTGTTGTTGTTATTTTTTTAGTAAATACGTAAGTTTAGTCTATATAGCTTTTGTTTTCGCAACGTGAATTTCTTGGTAACTCTTACAGTTTTAACACTATTTAAAATATTTAAAACTCTTTTAAGAACAAAAAGTGCTGAAAATAGAAAAAAAAATCAAAAAACTTAATTATTTCATTGAATTAGTTGAGTTAATTAAAAACATTAGATGCAACAACAACAAAAATTTATCGTATATTGGAAAACACATTAACTGCATCTATAATCATTTTGAGTCTTAGCCAAAATATCTTTTAAATCTCAAAAATATTGTTTTTCATTTCTTTATTTTGTTTTATTTTATTAAATTACTTATTTTGCTAAGGGAATAGAACGAGCTTGCGTGGTATAGCTTGCGATTACCTATTTTATAAAAAGTGCGTGTCCATATTAAATATTTCATAGGAGAATATTTTCAGATATTCAGTGCACAATATAAAGAGTAAACTCTGAATAACTCTTGATCTTATGAACGAATTTTCGCGTACTGTGACACAATCTTTATAGTTTGTGAGCCAAATCTTTATTCGGAGATGTTCCCTGTGACAGAGCTCATTGCGATCTATCCCTAGACCCATATCGGCTCTCCCTGCAACATTTAATTTTATTTTATAACCGTCGGTGAACAGCCTACCCAATTTTGAGTTTACGACTACCAATGTTCAACTCCGTAGCCTTGTAATTTTGAACCACATCCAGTACACAAGGGAATTCCTAGATTAAGTATTAGGAGAAATTTGCCTTCGTGGAGGACTTTTTGATGAAACTAACCCGTATTTGCGTTACATGGAGAAGAAAACCAGGAAAACCTTCCACTGTTAGCCTGACGGTAAGGGGACTCTAACATATGATCCGTCTACTACTGAGGATATTTTTTATGTCAGTACTGTGATCGGTGCGAGCCGGATGCGGAATCCTAAGCCTTGTTTTCGAACTTGGTCACCTAATTAGAGGGCGAGGCTCTATCCTCTGAGCCGACGCGGCTCCAAATGCATCAATAAAGTAACTATTCAAAAATTTGAAAATTAGATTATAAACGCTTTTCATTTTCATAGTCTGACCTTTCTTTATCGTGACCTTTATCCCCATTTATATAATAGGAATAAAGATCTGTTAATAAAGATAAGTAAAATGTAACTTAATAGGCATGGATAGCTATTGCGAATTTACAACAGTTATGAAGAGAGCTCATAATCCTTTAGAAACAAAGTCTTTAGAGACCAATCTTAAAATATATAAGAGGCAAAATAAAAAATTTAAAGAAAAAACAACTTTTTCACAAAAAATATTTATTGATTTGTGTGCTCTCTGTAGCTTTAAGCTTAGTTAACTAAAAGTAAAAAGTTTAAAAATTATTATACGTTTTGCCTTTTATAAATCCGGGAGAAAATATATATAACTAGACTCTAAAAATTTGAAGTCTAGACGCAATTACCCTTGTGAAAAGATTAAAAACGTTAAATCCTATTTTTGATACAGTCGAAGATTATATCTAAGAAAAGATGTTGATACAATTTTGAAGCAGAATAATAATTACCCTTTCGTCATAACTATATAGTCTGGTGGAAATGTGCTTCTTGAAATATTGTAAGAGTAATGTTTAATAAATTTGATCAAGCTAGTTATTAAAAATAAACAAAAATTATTTGTTTTTAAATATAATGGCCTTTTTCCCTATGTAAATTGATTCTGCTATAAAAGCATTTGATCATGGTAAATATATATTTGAAAGATATAACTAACCCATAAAAACTAAATAAAATATTCCAACTGGTTTTACATATAATTGTCTTATTATCCTCACAAATGAATTATTGATATTAATTATTTAAAATATTGTTTTTAAAAATTTTTAAAAAACTGTCTGAACTAACATATTTCTTAATAGTAACATATCTTTTTCACAGAATGATAAATGTATAGCATTTGGTCCCGGTAAAGATATGTTTGAAAGCGTGCAAATCATAGGAAGAAAGCAATACGAAAAGGCATTGGTAAGTGATATTTTTTACAAACAAATTTAAAAGGTGTTGGTCTACTGTAAACGGACTCTGGGTTCACATTTTAAAAAATAATATAAAGACGAAAACGGTATAAAAATTATGGTTTTAATTTATTGTTACACTGAAAGATTTGATATTAGGAAATAAAAAGCTCCCAATCTTATTATTTCAAAAAAATGAGAAAGGGACTTTTTAAAATTTACACGGGACTTTATTTATTTGCTCTAAATTTAATAGATTAACTGAACTGCTATAAATTGATGGCTAGCTCAGAGTGCTTAATAGTTATCGAATCATTAGTTAGATTGTTTTAAGAACTATTAAATTATAAGTGTATGAAACCTTAATATTATACATACAACTGTCTGTCTTTATGTCTTTCTTGCATCGATTCAGTTAAAAATCAAATAAATCTGACACAAAACTTTAATGTATTAATTATTAATATAATATTAAAAAAAAGATATCTTACAAAATTCATTGCATTAATAACTATTGAAAATCAAACTAACTATTGAAAACGAAATATTGAAATCAGAAAAAAACAAATAAATCACACACAAAATTTTAATATATTAATTATTAATATAATATAAAAAAAGATATCTTACAAAATTCATTGCAGTATTTGCAGTATCTATTGAAGTATCTATTGAAAACCAAAGTATGACATTAGTTTCCTATATATCATTTTGCGAGACAAATAATGACACTTCAATGCAAATGTTGATAACAAATACAAATTGTAAGACTGGCTAATATAACTCACAGATTCAATACAACTAATACAACATTCAATATAAGTCACATGGTTATTTTTATTGCTTATTTTCCATAGCTTTAAAATAAAATGTATTCAGCATACAAGTGGTCAATAAAAAACACCCTTTATATATGTTTCTAGAATCCTTGTCAACAATAAAATTATTCGCTCAAAAACTGCCCCCAACAGATTATTTGAGGGAAAAAAAAGAAAAACCTTGACAACAAACTTGAGAAATCAATAACGTAGGAAAGCGACATAATAGGTATCAAAACCTGCAAGATTGTCAGAGGAAACTGAAAAGAAATTACAGTAAAGACTTTCAAATTTCCTTCAAGAAATCAAACTGGTTTTAATATTTTTCGTCTCATCTTTCTTCATAATGATTCTCAGTCTTTGAAAATTATTTAAATTTACGAACCTTAATGTGCATAATTTTTCAATCCATTTGGAGGCCCATTCCTTGCTCCTCCGTTCATCAACCGCCCTGGTGACCTTCGATTCAACTTCTTTTTTCCATATTCGATACTTTTTTGTAAAAATATTCTGATAGTAAAATACATAATTCTAGTAAACGCTCGATATAATGACCCCTGTGCTGAAAAATATCATAAATACTAGATATATTTTGCCAAAAACGTTATTCCTCTGTCAATATCCGTCATAATTAGGATATGGCTAAATATATAGCGTTCTGATGATTACGAGCAGGGAATTTTGCCAAAAAATATAAGTCTAGAGAATTGGAAAGTCTAAAGAAAGCTAAATTCAAGAAGAATGACTAGTTCTTTTTAGCAAGACTGATCAAAATTCACACACAGGCGCATTATTCACTTCTAGATCTTAATACGGGAAAGTATTCACATCTCGCTATTCTTTTTACCATAGATTACGTCTAGGACCCCCTAGTTGTTGTGATAGATAATTCTCGAACTTATTATGAAATGCTAAGTGTTTTATTCCATTCTACTATGCGCACATAAACCTTCATAATTTCAAAGTTTTATAGTTTTTGCGCACCAAAACAAAATACAACTTTAAATTGAACACTAAAAATAGTGGCAGAGGCGTCGGCACTTACGGATTTTTAATAAAGAGAGATTTTTGACAAGGATTCGGAAAGTATACTTGAACGGCGGTTATTACAGAGCACCCCATATATTTAAGGAGCCATTATTTATTCATTTTAAAGATGCATTTTAATGATTACAGGAATTATTTGAATCAGCGGTTACTCCAATTTCTGGGCCTGTTGGATATACTCATCAATATATTGATATGACTCAAACTACAGTCACTGTAAATGGAACAACTAAAGTAAGTAAAAATTACACGAAACTTCTCAATTTTTCTGCTTTCCGAAGATGCTAATCAATCTCAATTGAATGCAATCTGACCTGCGTAGTGAAATTAACAAATAACTTATCCTTAAAAACTTAAATTGAGTACAATTGGTATACGTTTTTTTTAACCTTTTCCTGATATTAACGATAAACTTAATCTTAAAATTTTACGAAATTGAGTATTTTCGGTGCACGGTTTTAATTTTTAAAGAAATAATTGTATAAGATTTAATTTCGTTTTTCACTTCTTAATGAAGCTTAAAAACTTACGACGATTGGTACACGTTTTTTTTAGTCTCTAATGAATTTAATGAACGAAATTTAGTCTTTTTTCGTTCTTACCTTTTAATTAACTAAACAAGGAACTGGTTGGTTCTAGTGCCACTTGCCACACGGGCAAGCCTGCTTGGTGAAACTGAGCAAATTTAAGGTAGAGTGTTCGTTTCTTGTTTTTCAGTGGCTCCATCTATGGCCAAGAATACGATTTCTGCCACACCAAACGTCACACCCGGTTTTTCCCCATTCATACATCCATTTATTCATCCACAGATCGTAATTTTGACCTGAATCATAGAACGATCGATCTCCAATGCAGTACACCCAGAGGTATTGATTTGTTATGGGAACATGGAGGACTTTTGCGACTCGACAGATTTAANGCCATAAACTCGGCCCATAACCTTGACAGCCGAGATTCTCGCAGAATATCATATTTGTCATGTCAACAATAAAAGAGAAACGAAGTTTCTGAATAAATGAGTTTATTTAAAAACATTAGTAATAAAGAATGTCACAAACAGAGTGACGAAAAGAAAGAATACAAAATGATCTGCTTCAACAGAAGCTTAAATACAGATAGCAGGTGACGTCATGATCCACGCAAGAACGACCAACAGCAAATGAAAATAAACTGGCCGATCCCCGCAGACCATGACGTCACCGACGCAAGTTGAATGCATGAGATCGACGACGGAAATTCGAACCTCATACCTTTTAACTTCTATTATTTGTCTAACAAAAATCTTACGAAATTGAGTACTATTGGTGCACATTTTTCACCCTCTCTGATTTACCCTTTAATTGCTTCATGTCAATTTTTTTAATACTTTGTAACTATTTTATCAATGGACAACAACAAAGTATCAAGTCAGCGAGAATAAGAACCATAAACTTAAAAGTAAAGCTGTCGATTGCAGAAGGGCCAGTATGGATTTGCGAAGCGGAGAGTTTTTGTGGGAACGAACCAACTTGCTACACTCTCTTTCGAAAAATAATATTTACGATTAATTATCCTTTATAGAATAATCAGCAATTAAATTAGTTAATTAAACGTGTGATATAAAAATGTCGTATCACATAAAACTAATATTAGACATTGTTTCCTGGATAATTAACGTCTTTCTCTAGAACTATAAAACAGTAAGACATTTTCTCTATATCAGACGCAAATTGCAAAGTGTGTAACGTGAAAGCGGGAACTTTTTTTCTCCATATAATATCAGGGGTTTCACTAATGGCTGTTCATAACAATGAAATAAAATTATTAATTTTAAACACATAATACAAAAGAAGATCTTGGAGTTATTCAAGATATTTTTACAAGATTTTAAAACAAGAAAATATTCTTAAATGCATCCTCATTTTATGCACAAAAACGTGAGCTACCATCTACGTTTTGATAGTCAAAAATAAAATTCGTTGAAAAAAATTATGCTTATAAAAGTAAAAGACATTTTAACGTTTGATTCCGTAACTAAAAATATCATTAATGGAATTAGTTGGGACAATAAAGGTCAAATCCTCCTACCAGTAAAGTTGCCTCTTAGTTTGTGAAAATCCGATTGCTAGACCAAAAATTTTTATTATTATTATTATTTTTTTTTTGCGGCCTTGCTACATTATAATAAAAATAATTGATAGTTACATTGATTTCCAAAAAGTTTATAATTCTCTTGTCCTCAATACAAATGAATCAAAAAAATTTCTTCTTCTTAAATGATTTATTAACTGCTAAGAAGCAGTTTATAAATCATTCAAGAGATAATCAATACCATAATCATTATCATAAATCATTAATGATTTATTTTATCTTGACAAAATCAAATTTGTACACAAATCAATAAGGAGGATATGCTTGATTAGTACTTGTTTGAATTCAGAATAGTACTCAACATTTTTGTTAAATTGAGAATGTTAATTTGAAATATCTTTATGAATTGAGAATAGTTTCCTGAAATGATTATTTGAATTTGAATTTGAAGGCAACAACTTGTAAACCGGCTATGGGCTACAGTTTCGCTGCCGGAACGACTGATGGACTCGGATCATTTGAATTTAAGCAAGGTATTTATATGTAATTTATCATTACTCCGAATGAAATTTTTGACTTTTGTTTTTGACAAAAAAATCGCAAAAAGAGAGAAAAAAATCGTAAAGATTATGATTTTTCCAAAAAATAATACAACGAAGAGCCATTACATTACGACCACCCTCCATCTATAAAAATGGGTTCGCCCAGGTTTTCATGGTTTTTCGCCCAGGAACAATGTTTTCATGGGGCACATTAGGACCCATAATCCTCATAGAACAATCCCTGACGTCTGTAAGCTATTTGAACATAGTTGCAGACCAGGTTCACCCATTCATAGCAACAGTTTTTCCTGCAGGGGATGGTGTTTACCAACAGGATAATGCACCATGTCATAAGGGTCGAATCGTCATTGATTGGTTCGAGGAACATTTCAGTGACTTTCAAGTCATGTCTTAGCCCCCAAATTTACCTGATCTTAATCCAATAGAGCATTTGTGGTCCTACTTGTAAAACCAAATTTGTGCTGCCACGCTATCCCCTCGCAATATGATGGAATTGCAGGACCTCTTATTGGTGAGCCCTTGGTACCAGATGCCTCAGACTACCTATTAGCACCTTGTGGAATCAATGCCACGGCGGGAGCTAGCAGTTTTGAGGGCTAAAGGTGGTTCTACATGTTATTAGCAGGGTGGTCATAATGTAATGACTCTTCGGTGTATATGAATAATAATAAATTGAATCATAATACAACATTAAATTAATGCTGAGAAAATGCTCTAAAAATACGAGTAAATTTAGTTGAATTATGAACATGTTTTATATTTTAAAATCAGAGAACGACACCAACGCTTTTCTTCCGGAAATACATATTTGATTGAAATGGTGAATGGCGAATTTTGTAGGGCATTTCTTTATTTCATTTTATTTTATTTTATTTTTTTTTTTCATTTTTTTTATTTTACTTTATTTTATTTCTTTATTTCATTTTATTTATTTTTTTTCATTTTTTTATTTTACTTTATTTTATTTCTTTATTTTATTTTATTTATTTGTTTATTTGTTATGGAAGTAAAACATTTTTGAGCTTCCGATTACGTATTTTATAAAAGTACGTGTCCATATTAAACGTTTTATAGGAGACTGTTTTCAAATGTACATTGCATAAAATAAAGCATTATCTCTCAAATTTCATTCGTTTCTATTTAAATTTTACCACCAAGAATGCTCACAGGAGGGGGGGGNGAGGGGGGGGGGGTATCAAGTGGGACCAGTCGCCATAGCTCTTCTTGGTGTAGAGTATTTTTCGTTAAATGTACAATTTTGTAGTTTTAGAACTTTAAATTGGGTTTAAAGAATAATTTTTATTAAGGAAGAATTTTTAATTAATTTAGTCACTTAAATATTAATTAAATATTGATGATATATGAAAATATAATTTGAAATTTGGGGAAAGGAAATTTTCACATTTCATACATTTTAATATATTTATTTCATACCTTTACTTTAACAGTTTTCTAATACCAATAATTACGCTTTTACGTATCGTCATATAATAACCATAATAAAATATTTTTTAAAGAAGTAATTTACTTTAATAAGCAAATTTAAGAAGTAATATTTTAATAAGTAATTTAAAAAACAACAACTGTGGAATATAATGATATATTTTATCATTTTTGTGAATATTTTTAACGTATCATAAGATTAGCACTATAAAAGATTATTGTTAATTGATACATAGTGTATGATAATATACTAATAATTTAGAAAAATACAAAATTAAAAAAATTCCCTTTCGTATAATTAAAATTTATCCTTGTATATAAATTACATTTTTGAGTAATATTTAGTTAAATTTGAATACATTTTTAATTACATTGAATTTGAGCTCACCGGCCTGAATCAAAATGGTCATCAAATTGATGTAATTTTTAAAAAGAACAAAATATTACCATTTTATGTGCCAGTTATGTGATCTTAGAAGAACTCGTTTTTTTCCGTGTTTTCCCTGTGTTTCTTTTTCACAATGTTAGTTTTATCTCCTGAAAATAATGTTTTATACGAAAATATCTTTAATAGTGAATCTAATTGAGATAGATATACGCCGATGAGCCATTACATTATGACCACCCTCCATCTATAACAATGGGCTCGCCCAGGTTATCATGGTTTCTCGCCCAGTAACAATGTTTTCATGGGGCACATTAGGACCCATAATCCTCATAGAACAATCCCTGACGTCTGTAAGCTACTTGAACATAGTTGCAGACCAGATTCACCCATTCATGGCAACAGTTTGTCCTGCGGGGGATTTTTTTACCAACAGGATAATGCACCATGTCATAAGGGTCGAATCGTCATAGATTGGTTCGAGGAACATTCCAGTGACTTTCAAGTCATGTCTTGGCCCCCAAATTCACCTGACTTTAATTCAATAAAGCATTTGTGGTCCTACTTGGAAAACCAACTTCGTGCTGTCACGCTACCCCCTCGCAATGTGAGGGAATTGCAGGACCAGTTGGTGAGAGCTTGGTAGCGCTCAGACTACCTATCAGCACCTTGTGGAATCAATGCCACGGCGGGTGCTAGCAGTTTTGAGGGCTAAAGGTGGTCCTACATGTTATTAACATGGTGGTCATAATGTAATGGCTCTTCGGTGTATAACTGAAACGTTATTGTTTAAAGAAAATTTATATGAATTTTTGTTGTTTGCGGAACTAATAGGCGGGGCTTATTAGTCTTGGGGGATGACCACCCCTGTGTACCATCCTGTAATCAATATAAGCGATAATTATCTACTTAGTAGATCATAATTACTGCTTAATGAATTTTTTCTTTAAAAAAAATTATTTCTGGTAAAAACGATGTTCGGAATTGAACAAACGTAATAGAGTTCAATCACAGAAATATTCGATTCATAAGTTTCAAGTCCGGTTTTATTGTTTGATAAAATGAAAAGGCGGCGAATGTTAATAAAGAACGACTATTTGAAAATGGTTTTTATTTTCCTGATAAAGTATTCGCTGTAATTAACCTCGAATATAATTAGTCCGATTTTAATAAAGTTAATATTAATAATCCTTAATAAGCATATTTTTTTCTTCATTTCTCCTTTGAATTTTTAAAAAAAAGTGACAGTAAGCAATGAATTCAGAACATTCTGTTTTTGTTTTTTTTTGTTTCCAAAAACAGGGTCTTCATATTGTTTGACACTAAGTTTAAGATTATTTGTTTGTAGGATCAAAATCAGAGAACAACTTGATGTGGAATTTAGTTCGAAATTTAATAAAAGCTCCTAGTGCAAAACTCAAAGAGTGCCAAAAACCAAAGCCAATTTTACTAGCCACAGGAGAGGTAAGATGATTATTATCCTCATGATTTTTATTTCATTAGTATATCCCCTCTGAATTATAGACATTCGATTGTTTCTTTTTAGATGACCCTTCCATACCAGTGGCAACCAGCTATTGTCCCCACTCAGATATTGAAAATCGGACAACTAGCAATGGTGGCGGGTCCTGGTGAATTTACGTAAATAACTATTATTTTTCTTTTAGAAATGTTTTTAAAGTCTCTTGGCATTTAAGGCAAAATTAAATTCCTAGTGCACTTTAGCATCGCATTCAAATAAGAGTTTCGGTGCTGCCATCTAGTGTGGCTGAAACTAGACGTCCAAATTAATATGGCCAACGGTATCTCACCCATTGTGGTGGTGAAAGAGTGGATACCACTTCTGGAGAACGCACTAGGTCTGCTCATGTGTGCGCACTTGTGCAGCTCATTGGAAATAGAAAAAAATAAAAAAAATAATGTTTTTAAAGTTTTATATAAAATATTTTTTAAAAATGAAAAGAATGTTTTTAACATACTGTACTAATTTTTTCCACTATTGAAGGTCAAAAGAAAAAAATTCTCTGTAGGCTTTAATTTCCAAAAAATAACATTCTCTAAAAATAAAATAAAAGCTATTTAAGTTTAGAGAATTCGAATGCAAGCTTGCGTGACACTAAAAGCTGAAATTGTTAAAAATTATATTGTTTGGTGTTGTACAGAAATACATTTATCTACCATGTCGTTAGAGTAATAATTATAAATAAATAAAAAATTCTGTCATGTGTGATCTTTAAAAAGAAATTTTTTAGAATGCTAAATTTTATATCATTTGATAGTTCCTCTCAGCAACCCCCGTGGTTATCTCTCATTTTCTTCTTGAAACTCGGTACTTTTTTTTTAAAAAAAAAAAAAGTATAATTTTATATTTAAAAAATATGTAATTATTTTAATTTTAAGAAGGACACTTTCTTAATACGGTAATCGTAGCAAAATATATGATTATTCGGATTTGAAAATTAATTGTACTTAGAATATTTAAAATTAATATTGAATTGTATGACACAAAAAGAAATAATAAAGTAATTTTACTTGTTAACAATATATAACGATAACCTTATATTACGTAACTCTTCAATACTCTAGAGCAGTGTTCCCCAACCTTTTTATCACCACGGACCTGTCAACGTTTAATAATTTTACCGCAGTCCGCTGAGGGGGGAGGGTATTTATATATTAGAATATTTTGATTTATTAATTTTAATTTTATGGTATTTTAAACATGCCTTTAAAATAAAATACAGTTACACCAAAAAACAAATATAAAGTGATTTAACATTTTAACTTACTAGAACGTTAAATCAATGAGAACCCTAAGCTTGTTTCTTTGCAATGACACGGTTCCATCTGGGAGTAATCGGAAACAATGATGCATTACAAACATTTAAAAGTTTATGTCACTACCTTCGGGGGACCCTTTTTTAAAATAAATAAAATATTAATGGAGCACAGATATTTTTAATTTGGGGTATAAACCTAGGAATTTAATTTTAGTTTCAAAGAAATTTATATCATTCCTTTCTTTTATATAAAAGAAAGGAAAATAAATTACGAAATTTTTCGTTACACCAGAAAATAACTTTCAACAAATACTAATAAATCATAACCTTGCAAACTAATAGTATTAAAATAATCATATTTCATATTTTTCCTGTTTATCGTTTGAAATTGAATTTATTTTTTATTACTTGCCGGCAATGTATGAGACAATTCATATTTAACGCATTTCTTAAGCATTAAATAGAATATGCCAAATGAGAAACGAGCAAAGTATGTACATCTTCGATTTATTTTGGAAATATATTGCGATGCACGGATATTTATGAAAATTGCGTTTCCCTTAATAAAAAAGTCATTTGCAGTTATTTATCTATTTTTTTTTCCTTTTCATGTTCTAAATTATATTTTCAATAGCACTCTCATTATTTTTCAAGAGTAACATTTGTATTTTTGAGAAATGCACGTCATTTACATAATAGCCTTTTCAAAACCATTTTTCATGCTTTACCTAAATAGTCTCTGTTATTCTCTAGAGTATCTAGTAATAATAGTAAGATTTAAATATAAATGCTAAGATTTATGTCTGGTAACATCTAATCTTTCTTCATTTTTTTATAATTATTTTGTTGTTATTTTTATGACTTCAGGTCAAGCGTGAATTTACAAAATGGAGGTTAAATGAACGAAAAAACACTTAAAATTGTTCTGATACCCCAATGAAATTACTTCATTATCAAAATATCTTTATTATTGTTTAGGACTATGTCGGGAAGAAGAGCAATGAGTGCAGTGAAAAAGGTAAATAAATATTTATCTCTTGAACAGTAAATAGACTTCACGTTTAAAGATCCACTAATCATTGTTTCAAGAACTAAACTATTCCATTGTTGGAAATTCGCAATTACATCTTTTTTTCTAGTAATAATTTCAGGGCTACCAACTGCCCCGCTTTCTTCAGAAATTGCAATAAATTGGTATCAAATTATATTATAAAACTTGCAAAATAAGGATAATAACGCCCACTCTTTAAGTGTCACCACGAGATGGCTGTAATGAAGTTGCATTTCATATGATACTTTGAACTTAGGATATCTGGTGGTGGAAAATTTACTTGAAATAAAAAAATTCTAAACTAAATATNTCTCCGCAGTTGCAACATTTAGGTGGTGAAGTTTTATCCTTATGGCACTGATAGGAACGGTGGTCGGCGGCACATTTTAGACATCTTGGTTGAGATTTGCACATTCGTTGTGTGTGGCCGAAATTCTGGCAGTTATAACATTGTATTGGGCTATTCCCTCCACGAAATCTTTCAATTTTCACGGGAAGGTCACAAATATTGGTTACTGAGTAGATTTGGTTATTTTGTTCTGTTTTGATCAATATTGTGAGAAAGAGTGGGAGGAGCCGATAGGCCTCGCCCACTTTTCTTCTAAACTGAATCACTTTGCTTGTTATAATGCCTGTCTTGGCCAATTCACGGGAGATATGATCTGTATTGGTACATGCTGTGAGTCCACGGACTAGAACTTTGATATGCATGATTGGTGGTTCTGTTTCTGAGATTGTGGGTGGAGCCGCAGCTGAATTATAATCCTCCATGGGTTGGGTCAAGTCAGGATTTTCTTCGTTGTCAGATTGCTGCAAGGAAGTGGCGACATCTAGTAGTGGTGGAGGGCTGATATTTGTAGTAGTGGATAAATTTTCAACAGGCTTTGTAGCTTTGTTTTTCTTTCTCTTTTTACGTTTTCGTTTTTTGAGGGGGGGGCTCGGTGATATTTTTGGATGAACTTTCCGAATCTACGGATGACACACTCACTGTCTGCTCCAAAAGCCGGCCGCTTTCATGAATTTCTGTGTCAGTGACTTCCGCTGATGTGCATTTCAGACTTGATTTGCTGGTTATAGTTTCTTGTTTTTTCAAGCAGTTCGCTTGCTTCACTGTTTAGTTCGCTTGCTTCACTGTTTATTTTCCCGTATGCTTCCATCATTCTCTCATATATCTCTAATTCCATAGGATCCGTGGGTGGTTCAATCGTCATAGGATTACGTCTCGAGCTTTCGGTTTGACGCTTTCCGCCACGTCCGCATTCCTCATGTGGAATTTCCATCCATCGTTGTATCTCCTGTATCGTTGAGTTTCGTGTTGGAGTCTCGGTTTGTCTCTTTCCGCCACGTCCGTGGTGATGATAAGTGGCCATATTCTAGATCAGCAGTTTTTACCAGGAGAAGAGTACGCGCTACCCAATGTCTGAGTACCAAACAGCCGCTAAGATCATGACCACGAGATGGCTGTAATGAAGTTGCATTTCATATGATACTTTGAACTTAGGATATCTGGTGGTGGAAAATTTACTTGAAATAAAAAAATTCTAAACTAAATATAACTTAAATTTCGTTACCACTAGAAATTTCTTTTTTTACTAAGAGGAGCAATTCGGCAACTCCGTAAATTGCTTCTCTGAAAAAAAATTTCAAATACACCTTTTTAAATCTTAGTAATGGGGTACGGTTAGGAAAATAGCAGTAACTTTATAAAAAAATTAAATTTTTTTTGTGATTTATTATTTTAACAATTTACCACGGTATACTAAAATAAACCCTATTACCTTTTGCATAGACTTATTAAACAGAATGGCACAATTATCTTAAATAATAAATTGTAATGGCTTAATAGCAATTCTAAATATGTCGCGTGTCACAAATAACAAGAATATAAATTTTCAATCATAAATTGAAACGCAGATCTTTTTATTCTGATCACGTTCAAAATTAATAAAGTATAATAATAAATAAATAAATAACAATCATCTGCGTAACAAATGACCTTAATTATCAAATTAACTACCACGTCACTATCCGTATTTAGAAGAAGAAAAAAAAGCTTGTATATGCATACGTAATCCCTATCATAAAATTGGATCATTTAATGAGTTGTTATTTTAGCTTGGTCACCTTTTAAATATATCCTTAACAGCAAATAAACTTTAATGGTAACCAAGCCGAATGCGCAGCAAAATTGTATTTTAATATTCCAATTTTTAAAACCCTCTTATGAGCCTAACACCGCAATTAGTTATAACCAACATATAAACCAAATTTTTTCACTGTCTAGCTATCACCTGCAGCTTTGGTCTGCGGATGTACTTCGATTTCAATTTTAATAATTTTCAAACCGATATTTCATAATTTTCTGCCGACGATATCTGTTAGGCATCATCCGGATTTTTCAATTAGCAAACAACGACTTTTGTTCATTCTCAATCATTGTTTCGAATGAATAGGCTCTTTTCTTAACTTACCTATGTATATATCTTCAATCCTTAGCATTACTTCTAATCATAAAATAGGCTCTTATTTTAACTTATATATACGCTCATTCATTATATTATTATTTTTAATGATTAAATAGGGCCTTATATTAATTTACACCAAAGAGCTAATACCTTATGACTACCTACTCAATAAATTGCAGCTGTTTTGAACACCTTAGACCTTCAAAACAGTGGCAACTTGACTCTGTCATGGATGCTGCTTGGTAGATAACTGGACAGGTTGTTCCAAATGTACCAAGATATTAATTGGTATTCATTATGCTCTTCGAACCACTCCAACATTCTTCACGCCTTATGAATTATCCTGGAACGGTCTATTTCCAGTCAAGAAAATAGACATTATGTATGAGAACAGCTGATTTGCAATTATGGTCAGATAGTTCGCAGCTTTCAGGGTCTGTTCTGCCACAACCATGAGTTCTAGAGCAGCTTGTGATAACGACCTCTAAAGCATAATACCGCCACCATCAGTCTGTGTACAACCAGCGGTAGATGTGAGGAGCAACTGTTCACCGAGAAGACGGCACACCCTGACAGGATGAAGGTATAATCATGATTCATTTGACCAGACAGCTGTCTTCCACTTATCCATGGTCCAGTGTCGATGTTCCCGGATCAACAGTAGGTGTAGTCCTGTGACGCTTGGTCAACAGAGGCACACGAGTGGGATGTCTGCTCATACCTATATCCAACAGTATGGGCTGAACTGCATGTTCCGAATCACTTGCACTTAGACCTGCATTGTATTGGGGTATCAGCCGAGCCACTGCTTGACGCCGACTTTGTTTTACGAAGCGGGACAGCTTCCGGCTCCTTTTTTCGTTGACGACACTTGGGCGTCTAACACCTTGGCGGGTATTGCTAGTTTCGCCGTTACTTTTCCATTTTGCATAAATATTTACCAGTCGTGCAGTTTCGGAGATACTCGTTCCGTGTTTTCGGGCCATTACGATCTGCCCTCTATCAGATTCGCTTAATTCAGTAACCTTTCCCATCACTTGCAAAACTAAATGCAAGAATGATTCCTAGCTTCTATGTTCGATGTATCTGCCTTTCAGCACATGTCTCTTCATATATGACGTCACTAGAATACCAGTGACGACGAGTGAATGATATCGATGTAGTTAATATCAAGCAGATCTGTATCTGTAGCTGTAACTGAGACTGGACATCAGTCGAGTAGGCAGCTCTACTCCTCAATGATGGATACTCCCTGCATGACTATATTTACGATGTTAATGATTTTTTTATCCTTAACTTCCTCCTTTAATTCTTTGATGATGCTCACTAATTACAAGCTGGGAAGCGCAGGAGACTGAGACTTGGATGACTTGATTCCTTACCCTCCAACAAAAGTTAGATACCATTCTAACCTAATATTGTGCCCACCACATCATCCAGAAGAATTCATTGAAAAATGTGGGGGTGGTCATAACGTTTTTGCTCATCAGTGTATATTATACATATGTATAACTAATATTAAAGAATAGCAATTTTATTTTAGATTTTGGACAAATGCTCTTCTGTTGACAATAAAGTTGTTTTTGCTGGAATGAGCAATACTTATTCATCATACGTTACAACATTCGAAGAATATCAGGTAAAAAAATAATTTTCTATTTCATAGATTATATTTATTTTACTGAAAATATTTATTGTTTTAATGATAGGCTTAAGTGGAACAAGATGAGAAAAAAAACAAATTTTTTTAAATACCTGGATTAGAGTAAATTATATTCCTAAAAAGATTTTTCTCAAATATCTATTTCTGTTTTTTTTCTCTTTTTTTTCCTTTTTTTTTTAAAAAAAAAACTGATATTTTTGCCCACAATTCCTTAACTAAGTTATGTAATTTAATTTTCTTATTTAGCAAAATCAAATTCAAGGGAAAGGCATTAAAACTATTAAATTTCTTAAAACTCAATAATAAATGTTTCAAAAGTTGCCATTTTGTCCCCTTCCTCTTCCCTCCCTCTCTTTTTTATTGTTCTCACGGTTAAGTTCAGGTTTACAAATTTCTTTGTAAACCTGAATTTATTAGTTTTAAAAACCTTATTTGTTTTAAAAACTAGTTTGTTATTGTGTTAGCGAGAGATAGTTATACATAGCGTTTATTTCATTTTTTTTTCGAATAAAAAATTTAAAAGTATTGTCGTGGCTTTCTTTTATTACTTTTCTTGATGAAACTTACTCAACTGTGCACAGTTATTAAAATTAAGTTTGATGCTGAACTAATGCAATAATAGAACAAACTTTAGCACATAATGTGGCTACTAAATTTAATTTTTATTTATTTTGTGTAGGTGCAACGTTATGAGGGAGCATCAACAATCTATGGTCCTCACACATTGCAAGCATACGTTGAAGAATACGAAAAATTAGCAAGAGCTTTGTGTACTGGTGAAAAGTTACCTGACGGACCCAGACCGAAGAACCTCTTAGATAAACAAGTTTCCCTCCAACCAGGAGTGGCATACGATTCACCACCTCTCGGAAAAAAATTCGGCGATGTAATGAAGGATGCTAAGAGTAAATACTCTCCCGGAGACATAGTAAATGTAACATTCGTCAGTGGACACCCAAGAAATGATCATATGGTAGGTAATGGCTTAGGGTAATAGCTCAGTTCACAATAACAGAGCGTTTGACTTTCAATGAGGTGAACCGGGTTCAAATCCCAGTTATGGTTGGTTGATACAAATTCCGCATCCGGCTTGCTCCGATCACAGTGCTGACGTGAAATAACCTCAGTGGTAGACGGATCATGGTTTGGAGTCCCCTTGCCGTCAGGCTAACCTTGGGAGGTTCGCTTGGTCTTCCTCTTTATGTAACGCAAATGAGGGCTAGTTCCATAAAAAAGTCCTGCATGGAGGAACTTCTCCCAATACTTGATCCAGGAGTTCCCTTGTCTTCTGGATTGGTTTCAAAATTACAAGGCTACGAGGTGGAACATTAGAAGTCGTAAACCCGAAAAATTGGGTCGGCTGTTCAAAGACGGTTATAAAATAAAATATGGTAGGTGGATTCTAATTTTTATTATTTAATATGTTCCCACTATTTCTTATAATAAAATTATCCAACTCACTCTGGTAAAAATCCTTACAATATGTCGAATGAACTGTATCATTAGTTTAAACTCTGAGTCAGCTCAAACTTCGAAAGTTGGAATAAAAACAAAATCAAATGGAGATTTCTCTTCAACTTGTCGATCAACTCCTGCAAGCCATGAAGAAACAGAGAGAGTTAGGAACAAACAAGTCAAGAAAGAGTTGCCTTTTTTCATAGTCTTACTGTTGAGGAGAAACTGCCTTTTAGTTATTCCATATGCCTTTTAGTTATCATCTTCAAAATCATCGTTAACCACCGTCAATATTGATACTGAGGATGAGCTGGTATCATCTCTCGATACATTATTAGATACCAAAGCAGATGAATTTATTGAGTTAGATAAAGATGAATGCTTAGTTAATTCTTGTCCTGGTGATGTGTCGCTTGGTTCTAGGAGTTCTGATGAGCAACAAAATTCTAGAAAAAGGAATTTATCAGGAAGTTCAAGTGATAGAACAGGTTCTAAGGCTAGTGTTAAGGTAGGAGAAAATAAATCTTCCAGACATCCTCCTGCTTATTCTTTTAATTAATCATCTGGTTCTGATATTGTTCCATCTGACTCGTCAGTTAAGGCCTGGTTTCTTAAGACAAGCACCTTCTCTGGGCGTCAGCGGGAAGTTGACGTACCCTGATGCCAACAAAATACTGTTTTATGAAGCTCAGCGTGAGCAGTCGTTTCAACGTCGTTATAATCTCGCATTGCGCATGTGTTAATGACATTGTGGGGGGCGGAGGTATCACATTGCCAACCTTCTTCTATCATAAGATTCTTCGTGATTGAATCGAGTTAGCATGTCTTATATACCAGTGAGTTGATATTTAATAATCGTAGTGGTAGTTACGCCACAACGTAAACAAATATTTTATTTTGATTTTGTTATTGTCGAACAGTGCTTTAGAGAACAAAAAGTGACCTTGTCCAAGAAAAAACACATTATAGCTAAACTAAATGAAGAAGAAGAGGTTGATGAAGCTATGTTTAATGTTAAAATCAAAATCTTGGCTGATTTCAATGCTCTGTTGGATGTTGTCCGCCATTGGTTCTGTTGTTAACGTTACGTTCTAATCCAACTGGAGTTGATTCGGACGTCAGTTGTGGTTCAAGCTGAGCGTTCGATGACGTATGCTGTCTAACTCATAAACCAATCAGGAGTTAGCGCTCGCTTCAAGCTGACGTTTTGTAACGACAACCTGTCCTAAGAAACCAGGCCTTTACCATTCGCGTAGATAGTGAAGATAGTGTTGATCTAGTTTTTACTTGAAATCGAATGAGTTAAACGTGAAGAAAGTTTGACACCTATGACCATCTTTGACCAATTGGATGATATAGAAATAAATGAATAATTCTAAATTTCAGCAGATTTTTAATTGTTTTAAATTATGCAGTAAATTTTGAAAGTTTTAAAAGTTCTATCAGAGAAGATTTCATACTTTAAAAATTGAGTATCTTTTTTTTCATCCTACATATAAGTAAATAATAATGAGCTCCTTTATTTATTTATTAGTATTATTGTTAACTTTCAGCTCGACCGCACATTTTTGACCGTCGAAAGCTTAGATCGAACAACAGGAAAGTGGACTGTTGTGGCTACTGACTCAAACTGGGAAACAAGGTAATGTCTTCCAAATAATTCTTTCTTTTTATTTAATTTCTGAAAGAAGTAACGACACAAAATAAATACATACTAAAAGTTTATAATCACATCATATTACTTTTCAACATCGATGTTATTACATTTAATACATTTCGAATGCGGCAGGCATTATTATTAAAGCATTTAACAGTTTTACTCATCAAAACTTTTATTACTGTAGTCAAATTTTCAAAATGCAAGACTTCAGAAAATAATTTTTAAAAAGTAAAATGTACATACTTTTACTGGTACTTTGGAAATTTAGAATTTGAACTTTCATGACATTTTTATTGTAGAAATACAAATATTTCTAATTAAAATGCCGAAAAAAATCAGAACTATTTTAAAGTTTTTTCTCAGAAAAGATTTTTTCAAAACATTTTTCAAATTGAAATATTTTTTCGAAATTTCTAAGGCTAAAGTTCTGAGCAATAAATAAACCTAAAACATAGGTTAGGGTATATTTCGTGCTATGTAGACTAAAGCAAAACACAACGTGAATAAAGTACATAAATGGACATACTATAGTTTCAGCTATATAAACAAAACCCTTCCTCCGTCTCTAAACCTCAAATTTATAGTTTTACATCATTTGACGTTTAGACACTGATGAAAGTTTTTGTGCTTTTGTAAATTTTCAACAAAATAAATGAAAATTTAAAGTGAACGAGCTATAAACGGGTTTTCCACATATATAAATATTTTACATTTTTAAAAATTTCAATATTAAATCAACTTTAAAAGAGTAATTGTAACTTAAACCATCTATATCTTATATAATTACCCTTATTAGGGTAATGCCTTCAAACCATTCATATTAAGCCTTGCGCGTGAAAATTCGATTATTAAACCTAAAATTAATTTGGGTGTTCACATTTTTTATTTATTTTACAGATAGAACATCATAGAAATTCTAAAGGTTTTCGTAACAATTAAAAAGAAAGTACTTTTTTTTTAGATTATTTTAATTTAGAGCTCAAAATAAAAATATCAGGTTTCTCCTGCTTAAAATGTTCCACGAGAACGTTGACTACAAAATATGCAAAGTATTTTTCATTTGTTTAAATTTCAACATCAAATTTTAGAAACATGGTGTTCGAAGTAGATATTTCTATGTCAAATTTTACAATTCGATTTTTTTAAATATTTAATTTAATACTGACCTGCCAACATTGGACAAGAGCTCTCGGTAGCATATGTTGCAGAATGATTCAGTGGCGAATGTGTGCATTAAATAAAGAAACCATATTTAATTACAAACAAATTTAATAAACAATATGATTCGAAAAGGGGCTCGCCAATGAGTCATCCAGTTCAATCTATTGCCTGCCACGTAAGTGATTACAGAATTATTGTGAGTGATCACAACGCCCTCTTCTGGTCAGGCAGAAATTCGTATCAGCATACATTAGAATTAATACTAGAGTTCTTTTGGTAACGTATCTCGTGATTACTCGAGTCTACGCAAATTTTATAAATCATACAAAAAAAGTGAGCTGCGGGTGATGTTTCGAATGACACTTGAACAAGCTAAGCTCACCAGCCGAGGACCTGTTGAGAATTAAGTCGGGATGGTGAGGCCTTTCGTTTGACAAGAGAGCGCCACAAGGGTAAAACTACATCTTGGCTCAAACCCCCACCGATAGATGGCAGAACCACTTATTCGTAAGGCCACTTTCCTCAATTTGGACATAGATCTGAAGGTGAAAGATATTTTCTCCAGATTCCTGTAACCATGACTAAGCGACTGACTGCAGAACTTTCGATTCCATAGATTCTACAAGCACGTACATCACATGTACTCGGTGGTTCTTAGTGGAGTCGAGAATCCAGCACCAGGCCCTCTGGACCAGAGTCATATTATCTAATCACTAGGCTACCATGACCCACAAGTGATAATTATTCATGTGATTACGCTTGCAAGATCAAACATAAAATACAGTTTGAAATAGCAATTGCTTAAAATATTAAATACTTAAACTACTAAATTGTTTTTCACAATCTTTGAACTGAATAACATTTAGGAAAATAATATGCTATCGTGGTCCATTAAAGAAATAAAAAGATAAGTTCAGGAACAAGGGCGCCGGCAGAATAATATAAAAGGGGGTGCAAGCCTCTAACAAACTACCCTCCCCTCCCCCTCATCCCAAAATTAAAATATTCTGCTATTACATTTTGTTTTGTTCTTACATATACTTTCATCTGTTCATTTTTTCAAGATACATTTCTTCATTGTTAGCAAGATATTTAAAAAAAAGTATGAATTTCTTGTACTTGCAAATTTTGCCCAGAGACGATTGCGCTGGCATAGCTACTGACTTTGAAACACAAATAACTACAAACAGTAGTTTCGTATACTAACGTGTTTGTGCACGCTTAACATTATTTATTGTGTTGATGAATTTTTACAGTTGCGAGAAGTCAGCTTGTGCTATACACCTTTGTTAAACTGAATAACTAATAGAAAATATAATATTATTTACATTTTATTAAAGGAAATTTAAAAATATAGCTTAGATATCTGCCAAGTTTGTGAATGCTCAGAGTGCGTAAGAAAAGAATCAAAGATGACTCAGAATTCATTGAAAAAGTTAAAAACAGATTTGGACAGCAAACAAGACGATTACAATTCTTGTTCGATTAAACAATTTTTTAATTTTTATGTATCAATAATTACTTAATTATTTGTTTTTCCATATAAATATGTTTAAAAAAACAATTTTGTAACAAAATTTTTCTGTATCTCTTTAATTGTTTTAAAAAAAAAGCCAGGGGGGTGCAAGTGCACCCCCTTGCACCCCGCTGCCGGCGCCCTTGTTCAGGAACAATGTTTTGAAAATTAAAAGGGCAAACTGTCTTATTTTGAAAGCTAACATGCCTCTGCAAAATTGGCTCGAACTCCATAGAAACTGCGGAGGCATCAGTTCTAAATTAGTTTCGGCTATCGAACCCTAAAAAATAGATCTTCTTTTGGCAGAACCCAGGCACTATAAAAAAAAAAGTTCATTGACAGCTGTGAATACACTAACAAAGGAAAAAAAAGATTGATATTTATTTTGAAACTGTTTAATGTGAGGAATGAAATATTTAATACTAAGATTTTTTTTCTTGGCGAAGCTGCGAACAAATAAAACGAAGCTGAGTTATGGTTTTTTAAAAATAACTTAAAAACGGTGAGAATAGTTATGAGTAAAACGTACTTTTTCATTCTTGAATTTAGCCATTTTAGTTTGAATTTAAAAGCTCAATGAGAAATACTTTTTATAAATGCGTAATCTTTTCATAATTTATTTAATATATTGTTATCAAAGAAATATACATAAAATAAATTCTGCTACTTTTTCATTCGCATCTTACATAAAGAAGTTCACATAAACGAGCGAAATATTAAATAAATTATCAATTATTATCAATACCGGTTAAAAATATTCTCATTCTCGGAATCCTTGTAATCCTCCCACGGAACCCCAAGGTTCTTCGGAACATATTTTGGAAACCGCAGATCTACACGATTAAATAAACATACGAAAAACAACACTCATGTGGAAATATAGTTAAGATTTTACTGATTTCAAACCAGTTTCTGATATCATTTCAAACTTATTTTTTTAAAAATTTTGATTAATAAAACTGAATAATGATGTACATTTTCTATTTGTAGATTTTATTGGAAAAGAACAAATGTGGTGTTAGGCCACAGTGAAGCAACAGCTAGTTGGCATATTCCGGAAGATGTTAATCCAGGGAAATACAGGATAAGACATTTCGGATCCAGTAAAAGTATGTTTCAAAGAATTACGTCATATGATGGAGCTTCAAGAATCTTTACAGTCGAATCAAAAACAGCGTAAATAAACCATACTAAATAATGTAATCAAGTGAATGTAGTCCTTTGATTCAAAAAATAAATGCAATTTAAAACAGCATTGGCAACATATTTAAGTGTCTACAAATATCACTATATTTTGTTTTTGGTACCCTTTATGTCCTATATTCTATTTGAAACTTAAATGCTTATATTTAGTTTTGATCTAATGTGAGATGTACAAAAAAAGAGCTGAACAATATCAGCTGCTTCAGTACTATGGATATACAAAACTAAAAGCAAATTACCTCTTCTTTTGTTATTGAGGACGATGCTTGTCCCTGTCAGTAGAATCGAAATGGCTGTATGCATATTTTTAAATTAAAGTTACCATCTAGCCTATTTTCATGCCATTTATATTTAAGTTTTTCTGATGTTTTTCTAAGTTTTTCTGAAATATTTTCTTACTTTAGCTAGTCTGTTTTGGAAAAAAAAAGTAAGCAGGTAAAATTATTTTACTCATTTTTCATCAGTTAATCAAAAATTTCAGAACAAAGAGAATCAACAAGATACGAACACAAAATATTAAAAAAAAATCATTTCTACCGAATAACAATCTTTTATTTTCCTCTAGGTTATTCTAGGTTCCAAAGGTTTCTAAAAGGCACCATACGACCTTTTTATTGAGCCTGAAATTCTTCCCACTCCTTGTAGCCCACTGGACTTCCAGACTTTCAATGTGGTCACAGACCTTGCTGTTAGAGTCCTAAAATCAGATTCTGCTTCTGATGTGTAATGGTACCTCTTACTTAATGGTACCTCTTACACAACTATGAATGAGCTATATCCTGAACCTGAATGGTTGAGAATCTTTTCAGATGGCTCCCGAGTGGATCAGCAGGTGAGTGTGGAGCGGGAGTATTTTGTCACCTGTTCTCTGCCTGCGCTTCTGTTGGCTACAGTGCATCTGCCTACGACGGTGAAATCGAGGCTATTCTAATTGCCTTAAAACAGCTACAGTGTCGTACTGACCAATTTTCTAGCGCCGCCATCTTATCTGACTCTAAAGCAGCAGCACTTCTTGATATTAACTCTCCACTGATTCCCCAATCCATCTCCTTTCAGAAATGCATTGATTATCTGAAGGACTTGACACTAAAAGGCAAACAAATCGTCCTCCAGTGGATCCCGGGACATTGCGGGATTTGGGGTAACGAAAAAGCTGATTTCTTGGCCAAGAAAGGAACAACTATTGTCCAAGCATCTCGTTGCTCCATCTCTCTGCACTCATTTAAACTGCTGGTCCGAAACCAATTCCGGAACATGCTTTCAGAGAATTTCCGTAAAAGCAATATACACAAAACCTGGTTCAACTATATTTTAACTATCCCAAATCAGCCCATGTTTAAGGCAGTTGTTCTCGTTAGACTTGTAACGGGCCGTGACTGTCTGGCCAAACACCTTTTTAGTATAAACATTTTTGACTGTCCTAAATGCAAGCTCTGTAGCTTTGTGGATGACATGGACCTGTCCCATATTTCCGCCTGTCCTGCGCTCTTCTCTACTACTGCGTGTGGACGCTATTGGGAGGCTAGGGTCCGTATGGGCTAAGCATGTCACTATGCATTCTTTTCTATTTATCTCTTTTTGCCTTGTTTTTCTTGTTATTTCATCCTTTTTGTTCTTTCAAATTGGCCTGCCATTGGAAATTAGAAAAAAACTCTAGAAGCTCTCTTTCACTAAATGTAAAGAAAGACTTATATAAAGCAAAAAAGAAATGAATACTAAATGTATCTTGAAAAGCAAATCTCATTAGTAGGGTCAACGAGAAAGAAAAAAACTTTAAATAGAAAAGTTATAGTTATTTTTAAAATTATTTATAATTTAATTTACGATAATTCCATTCATGAAATTATATATAACCTTATAAATAAACTCAGCATCATATAATGCACTAAAATAAATAAGCAAAAAATAAAGATATTTGAATACTATATTTAGCATGCTGGAGAATAAAAAATAAACTGTTTAACCATAGAAACAAAAACACCGTTTGATATAAATAAAAACATGCAATTCACTCAATGCTAAAGAACATGTAATTAACATTAGAAATTCCAATATAAATTATCATCATGCAACGTTTAAACAAAACATAAAAAATCATTGACGATAAAAAAAAATCGCCAAAGGCATAAACGAGAAAAACGATTGCTTTAAATAGAGTGTTAGCAGTAGAACTTTATTTACGACTTACTAGAGTTGCACGATGGGCTATTGGCGACTGTCTGGGAAATATCCCTGAGTAAGATCCGAAAATGTCATCACAATTTTGATTCTCTATGGAGGGGATTGTTGTCGGGTATTGAAAGCTCACCGACCTTCGTGCGAAGTGGAGCACTTTACAATTGAACTGTTTAACGAGGACCGATGCCACACATTATTGGTCCCTTCGCAGGCTGATCAAAGAGGTCATCTAATTGCACACTGACAGCTACCATTGATGCTCGACTTCCGTGTTCTACTGAAAACCGTGTCTTCTTTCAGTTCGCTGTAAAATGCGTATAAATAAACTATCTCTTAGTGAAAAATATACACACAAAATGATGCATTCATTTTAACCAGTGAGATCCTACTGGACTGTGGCAATATATGAATAACTAGTAAAAGTATCGCTTGAAGAGAAATTTTAATTTCTCTCGTCAAGCAATACAAAACTTTTAGCCAGCATAACCACAAATCATTTATTTTAGTGTTGTAAATAGTTACATGAAAGCGAAGGTTTTCGTATCGGGAACTGTGGCAGAATGATCGCCAAGTTTTGGCGACTTCTTGGCAGCGATGCGCGAGAAACTAGAAAAAACATCACAGAAAGGGACCAACTCGAAGGTTTTCTACTTGTCTCTACATGTTTTTTGTAGGTTTTTCCCGTTTAAAATCAATTTGGTGCATTAGAGATTGTAGCTGGCGTGGCAAATCACGACACGGAAATATCCCCACATAAAATATAGATAAATCGCCGGCTTTTATTTTTGTTTAGTATCACAGAATGTTCGTGGATTATCTAAATTCCTTTTCAGCTAAAATTAATTAGATTAATCTAATAGTTGAATTAACTAACTAATTAACTAAACTAAACTAACTATCTAAATAATAAACTAATTAACTAACGAATAAACTAAATTTAAATTGAAAGAGAGCTTTAATTTGTAAACGGTGCTGATATAATAATAACAGAGAGCACACTTTTTTAAGCTGCAAGGCATGAAAATAAATCAGCAGTAGTAAGCCGGAAGTCATAAGACCAATTTTAGCGCTAGCGACACATGTCTTTTGTTTCATACGGTCAACTATCCACAGCTGAATCGTGGTGGTTCTGAGAATAGAGATTTTCCCTCCCAAGCAGGCGTCGGTTCGAATCCCAGCGTTGGCTAATCGAAACGATTTCTGCTCTCCCACTTGCTGCCCCCATAGTACTGAAGTAAAATATTCTTAGTGACAGACGGATCATGGGTTAGAGTCCCCTTGGTTTCAGACTAACCGTGGAAGGTTTTCGTGGTTTTCCTCTCTATGCAACGCAAATGTGGGTTAATTTCCTCAAAAAGTCCTCCACGAAAACAAATTTCTCCGAATACTTGATCCAGGAGTTCCTTTCTTTTCTAGATTAGGTTCAAAATTACAAGATTACGGAATTGAACTTAGGTAGCCGTGAACTCAAATTTCGGTCTACTGTTCAACGACGGTTATAAAATTATCCATAGCTACACCATTTCCTTCTTCTATTTTTCACTTTTCCGCTTTCCTGCTTAGGGAGTATTCTCAATGCATGCTATTGTTGAATCTTCGATTTCCGTCGAGAGCTAAGGGGAATTTGTAATTGGAACATTTTTGCGATAAAATACATTTCACTAAATGGCAATTCACTTTGACTTTAGAGAAAATCTTATGTAAATGAAAACTGAGTGGATGGTGTTTTCTACACTAGGGAGCGCTGCAAGCTCCATACCGCATATACTTCTGGGTTACTGTTTCTGGTGTAGCCAATTGGCTCACAACGTGATAATTGTGTTTTGAGATTCTTGCAAACGTGGTATTTGATTGCTTATTACTTGTGTTTACAATGCTAACAATACTTGTGTTTAAAATGCTAAAGACGCTAGCACTAACGTAAGATGGTGCACAGCTTGCAACAAGAACAAACAGGAATAAACAAGTGAAAGGAGACCAAATGAGGACTGCCAAAAAATTGAGGTTATTCAAAATCTAGCAACCATGTCACCTTTTTTAACAATATATCTATAAATAACTAAAACAAGTTTTCACTTCAAACTCACCAGAATTGCTTAATAACATTAATATCTTATGAAATACGGAAGATTTGAGCACAAAAATTATCTAATTTACTACTTATATTGAAAACAAAATTATCCGTTTGAAAACATCGCCTCTCAGAATAAGCTGTAGTAAGCAGTTGTAAACTTTCTAACCGGAACTAGAGCAGGTATTAAGCTCGAGATTGTTATTGTTTACATTTATATAGAAAACACCAACCATTGGTACCAAATATTTATTTGCTAAAAACTGGCCAATCAGGTTCTCTTTTGCATATGATTTTGCATCCAGTGTAAATGGTCTTTAATCAGTTTCTCATATTTTTCTCAACAGCGATCGGAGGTGCGTCAACTGAAAGTAGTGAAAATGGCTCTTTCAAAATCCACTAAAGCACTTTGTAAAGTGCCATTCTCACACCCTTCCACTCGCTATTCGCGGTTGCAACGCTTGAATATGCCCTCTAGAGGGGACTATATTTTCAGGCATTTATTTATTAAGTTTTCATTTAGTTATAACAGAGCCATTGGCAGAGTAGGACGCCATTTTTAGCTGAAAATAAGAAGCAAAATTTCCGTAAGAAAAAGGTAGAATAACTTGAAAAAGCGACCCAGAACATTGATAAATCTATCTGAAACAGAACGCACCCAACATTTGAAGAACAATTTCTCAATAATTTTTACCTTTCCATTATAAACAAAGATGCAACCGATAATTTCTGATTTCGTGATCGCATACTGTTACAGTTGTGTGTATTACGGTAAAATTCATTTTTTTTTCGTCTTCAATTCAATACAAATTAAAGTGAAGTCAACATTGCTTACTTCATTTCAATGAATAATTGCGATTTCAGAACGTGCAGAATTCTAATAGTTATAGAATATTCTTCTTATTTATAGAATAGTATATATTTCTGTACCTATATAATACGGAAAACAACAATAAAGAATCATGCGAATTACTTGAAATAGTATCAATTGTGCTGATTATTAATACATTTTCATCGTTTTCTTGGTAAGCATTTTTTAATTTTCAATGAATGATTTCAACTAGAACTCAGCTATTCTGTTTCTAAGTTGCGTATTGAAATTCATATCGAGATCTATAAAATTTTGTTGTGTGGTATGTCATCTAAAAGTAATGAAGGGATAATCTATGTAAATAATATTATTTGAGAATAAAATTTTCAAACGAAGAACATTTCATTTGGAATTGGGTATAATATAGCCTACGTCACAGGTAGTGTTGTTCCTACTAAATTTAACCCATGAACGGCATTTTCTGCGAGCCTNTGTTATGATTTTTATAATAAAATTTTACTTGTAAATATTTTTTTTTATATACAGAAAGTCAGAAGTATTGTTTTAGCAGCAAACGAAAAACATTTTAAGATATGTGCGTTTTTTCTTTTTTTTTCTCGTTTGCTGATAGAATAGTATTTCTGACTTTCTATATTTAAATAAAACAAATCTGGTTTTAGCTGCTTTAAGCGCTTTTCCATTTTATTTATTATTTTAAATATTTCTTACTTATTTTGTCTTATTCTGAATTTGTTTAAATCAGTTTCATTCTTTGATAATTTTTTTTTCAAATTTGATAATAGTTATCTACAGAATGGTTTTCTGCGTCTGATTAAGAGTTTTAAGACTAAAAGAAAGAAAGAAGCAATATGAAAGTTTTTTATTTCAATATGAGGAATTTTCAAAACCTTTTTTTAAACCATAAGCATTCTTTATTTTACGTTTTTTAGTTTATAATTTTTTGATAAAAAGTGCTGTAAAAAAAACTTTTTTGCAAAAGTAAATGGCCTAACATTATGTGTTTCTGTATACTTTTTGCATATTTTAATGTTCAAAGTAATATGATTCAGAAAAGTATGGAATGTAAAGCTTTACTAGACCTTTCATATTAGATCATTAAATTTAGTAGAACGATTTCTCAGGCACTAGGTTTTAACTCTAATAAGATTTTTTACAGACAGATATTTTCCGATGTGTTTTGGATGTTCCTCCCCTAAAAAAAAAGATATTCCATTTTGTTTTCACTTGCATAGGAAAGAATGTCAAACAGTTTTCTTTTTTTAATTTAATAAGCCACAATAAAGAAGGAAAGTTACCGTGCTACGCTGAGGAAATCTCCAGTGCAACTGATGATCGTGTAGTTCTGCTAGCAATCATTCGTCACAACTACGGCACCTATAGGTTGTTGTGTTCGCGAATCGGAAAATAATGAGAACCGGATAGGTAAAAAAAAGATTTCCTACTAAAACTTACTAATCAGGTTCTCCATTTTTCTTTGTGGTTATCAAAAGAGTGTGAACCGCATTTAGTAAAATTGGTTCATTACTACAAGTTGATCCTTCAGGAAAATGTAATTCTTTTTTTAATTACAGAAATAAATGGAGCTGCAGACAGTTAAAAACAAAAACATTGCATTTGTTTTTACCATCTCCTCTAGGTTCTTGAAACTAATTTTTTAAAAAAAATTGAAATATTTTGTCTTTTTTTGTAGTTTATTTACGTCGCACTAGAGCTGCACAATGGGCTACTGGTGACGGTCTGGGAAACATCCTTGAGGATGATCCGAAGACGTGCCATCACAATTTTGATCCTCTGCAGAGGGGACGGCACCCCGCTTCGGTAGCCCATCGACCTGCACGTGAATTCTAGCATTTTACGGTAGAACAGTTTAACGAGGACCAATACCGCACACCCTCGGTCCCTACGCAGACTGATCCAAGTGGTCACCCACCCGCACACTGACCGNGAGGATGATCCGAAGACATGCCATCACAATTTTGATCCTCTGCAGAGGGGATGGCACCCCCGCTTCGGTAGCCCAAAGACCTGCTCGTGAATTCGAGCACTTTACGGTAGAACAGTTTAACGAGGACCCATACCGCACACCCTCGGTCCCTACGCAGACTGATCCAAGTGGTCACCCACCAGCACACTGACATCAGCCAGTGATACTTGACTTCGGTGAACTGCTGGGAACCGTGTCTTAACGATCAGTCCACTGCGGGACTTGTCTTTTGTAAATGTCATTATTTCTGGATTAAATTTTATTATTATCTCCAATTTTCTCGTTTGTGTTCAATTGCAACTTAATTAAGTGTAATATTTTCTTCAAAGCTATTTGTACAAATTCTATTAAAAAAAGAAGAAAAAAACTACGATTTAGTTTAACCCTTGCAATGATTTTTCTTTTAAATTAATTGTTTATTTCTAACTTCAATAACAAGTAAAAATGCTTCATATTTTTTAAAAAATATAACAAGTAAATATTTTTACTGTGCAAGAATAAGATAGAAATGGAAAATCAATCATATTCAAACCATCAATAAAATTGTAATAAATCAGCTTGGAATATTTTTTCGAAATGTTTGGAAGTTGAAATGTTTTTTCCCCTTTGGTCATTACACTGAAATTTCAAATTGATTATTGATGCTTAATTCTGGCAGTAGACATCCTTTCAAACTTTTCATTCATCTTTTTATGGAGAAAAAGATCATGTAAATTCGTTGTTGAAGCTGTTAACTTCATATACAAGTTGTAGTCAATGCAAATATTGCAATAATCTATATAACTCTATTAATAACACAACAGACTTGATTACAATTTTTTCTGAAAGTCATATGCTGGGGTAAAATTAGCAAGATTGTCTATGTGGGATCCATTTGGTTCAGTGCTATTTTTTTTAAAATGCTCTTTGTTGTGTTCTTGTGGACTTGGAATTTATATATTAGTGGAAAACAAAGTCATTATATGTATATTTTATTTTTAATCCTAAATTATAACGGAAAAAAGTAAGGATAGAAAGTTGTAATTTACGTACAGATCCAGATTGAAGCTGGCTGAAAAAATACATTAACAGCGAAGGAACAAAAAAGTTTTGTTTTTATGTTTTAAGGTGATATTATCTGAAATATTAAAGATATATTTTCTTGTTACATTTGTTTATTATTAGTAAGACTCATTGTGAAACTTTTCTGGTTGTAGTTTTCACTATTAAATAATTTAATTTACTTTTACTTTTTATAAATTTGTTAGCATTGAAATATTTTTTAATTGCAATTTATTTTTTTGCCTCATCAGTTATTTGCAAAAATACTTAACTATTATTTAGTAACATTTGTAATATATTTCTTTTCAAAGACTAAACTTAATTTTTTTTTCAATTTGCTTTACTATAGTTTTTAATTTATTGAGTTAAGAAAATAATTGAAGCCGAGTGCTGTTGCACAGATTGCACTTTTACACACAATGTTTTTTGCTGGAATTATGCAAATTTTAATTTCAGGATCATAGAAAATTTTTAGTGCCTCATATTTTTCCAGAACAGTTCTTTCAATTTGAAATTTTCTCCAAAATAATAAAGCTTTTCTTATAGCTATAACATCTTCTTCAAAATATTTTTCTAAATAAAATTTGTATATTTGTTAAAATTGTTTGATAATAATTGTTTCTTGAGAAAAAAGTTCATCAGATTTTACTCAATTCTTGAAAAAACTGGAAAAATTTTGCAGAAAGACGCATTTTTTTTACACTACTAATTTTATAGCATTTTTTTTCTTTTAATTAAGCCAAAAATTTCTACTAAGTTGCCTGAATTCTTCCGAACCTTGGGATCAGCCGCAATCAGCCTACTTTGCATCCCAAAACTAATTTTATTCGGCATAAACTTTTGGGAACAGCTATTTTGAAGTTGAGTGCTGTTTATTTTCCCTGGTTTGTTGGCCAGAAAGTGCAATTAATTAACGAGCCCTTTTGTAGACAAAATAAACTTTTAGTATTATAAAGAGAAAGCATCCCAACTCAGCTCATTGGTTTATCTTTTTATTTAATTAATTTTCCATCAATTTTTCAAAATTTATCATAACAGTAGAGATTTTCCTAGAAATAAAAAAAGAGAGGAATGCTTTTTCGAAAACTTAGTTTATACTAATGCAATCTCTTTTCTTAAAATAAAAATAATAAGAGTATTTTTTGTCTAAATAAAAAAGGGATACGAAAAAGCAAGTAGGGTGCATTTATTTTCATGCAAAGGTAGACAGGGCGAGCCTCATTTCTAAGAACACTTAGGGAAAACAATGCAGTATAATTACATAATGTTAAATATAGTTGTCAGGAAAACTTTTTTTGACGTCAACAACTTCTTTTTAAAAGATGTAGTGATTACAAACTACTTTCGAAATGTATTTGTGAACGGCAAAGTATGAAATCCCGGCATTATATGTAATGCGTGACGTTTTTAGGCAAAGTATGAAATATGAGAAATATTACATACTTTGCCGAGGCATTATATATAATGCCGGATGCTATTTAGGCAAAGTATGAAATAAACGTCCTGATGAGATTATCATGTAAATGATGTGCATGTTACTGTGAATGACAGAAATCGGTGGTTGTTGACTTTCACCGGTGAATGTTGACAGTCACAGAATCGCTTTGGTAATGTCTGAAACATTTATTATATCCGATTTGATATTAATTTATTCGTGGATATAATTACATTTATCCGATATTTTATTACTTATTAGATTAGAAGAAACATCAGTGTTTGGAGTATCGGGAAAATGTATACCGGGCAGTGGCCCTTGACCTTAAAATAAGATCACTGTAGGGTATACCGGGCAAATGTATATATATATACAAGATAAAAACAATCTTGTTATCGTGTTGAAATGATTTTTGTTAATCTTTGTGGTAGTTTTGTTGTTGATTCTCATTAAGAACTGAAGTATTTAAACAAATTGACACAAAATAGGTAAAATAATTTTGCTGCTGGCCACTTCTTTTTTTTTTAAACTGACTCACTAATACCTTTTCAAAAAAATATAAAACTAGAGAGCTTAAAATCACACTAGAAATTAAAAAGCTCTAATTTAAAAATTATGCATACTGTGATTTTAGTGCTATAGACAAGGACAAGACTATGCTTTGCAAGAGAATAGGCTTTGTACCTTTATGCTTGTATATCTATAGCATTGAAATAGCTGTTTTTTAGTCAACATTTATTGTTAGTGCTTTTTACAATTCTTGTATTTCTGTATACATAAAAAAAGTTTAATTCTCAAAAAAAAATTAATGGTAATCTAAAGCAAAAAATACAAAGGTTTGTAGGCTCTGAAATATGCTTTTCAATTGTGTTTCCGAAGTGTTATTGTGCTATTGTTGTTTTTTTACTCAAATCAAAGGACTACAAACACAATGTTACATAACTTATAGATATTTATTTACACTGTTTTTGACTAAAAATATACTTGAAGCTCCTTTATATGGTGTAATTTTTTGGAATATACTTTTACTGTATCCGAAATGCCTTATCCTGTATTTGCCTGGTTTAACATCTTCTGGAATATGCCAACTAGCTGTTGCTTCACTGTGACCTAACAGCATATTTGTTCTTACCCAATGAAATCTGCGAATATAAAACATACGTCATTACTTAATTTTGTAAACTAAAAAATTTTTTTAAAAAAAGGGATATTAAAAACTGATTTTAAATCAGTAAATTCTCAACTATTTATTTTGTGTCTCTTTATGCTTTTTGTGTCTCCACTAAATCATGTAGATTATGTGGGGATGCGTGGCGTACCTACCACAAATCATGTAGATTATGTGGGGATACGCGGCGTACCTACCACAAATCATGTAGATCATGTGGGGATACGTGGCATACCTACCACAAATCATGTCGATTATGTGGGGATACGTGGCGTACCTACCACAAATCATGTGGGGATACGTGGCGTACCTACCACTAAGATTATTAAATACTAATTCACTAGTACATAATACAGATTAGCTTGACTCTATCTTGAGGAACCTTTTGATAGATGAAGGTTGACATTGTCGATATTACGCTCCCCATATTGGTGATGCCCGGGCGTGATATGAACTCGCCAACATTGATTGACGGTCCACAATAAACTGTTGATTTACTCACAAAATAGTGCTTAAAAATCCGGTACAATAGAAATTAATACAAAATACAAATAGAAATTAGTACAAAATATTTAAAAAAGTATGAAAAATATGGTTAATAAAAATTCTACATCGAAGAGTTAACAGTTATCGCCCTTAATCCTTTTTTTTTTTTTTTTTTTTTTTTTTTTTTTTTTTTTTTTTTTTTTTTTTTTTTTTT